ATGCGCCTGTTGTCGAGGGACTCATCTGCGCTCAAGACTGGCTACGACCTAAGTCTCCCAAGTAAAAAAAGATCACTCAAACCTGATCTCCAGAGGGGCTTATTTGTTTTTATTACAAAAAAAATCATTTTTTTTATTCCTCTAGCAACCGATTGTTTTTTGGTCTATGATAAATACATTGCTTTCACTATTGCTAGACCCGTGCAATCAACAAAAAATGTGACTGGGCAGCTCAAACAAGATCTCAAAATCCTCAACTCCTTTTTTTGTTAATGATATTACATCGATCCTTTTCTTTCACATTGATCTGTTTCTTTCACATCGATCTCGTTCTTTCACATCAATCCGCTTCTTTCACATCAATCCGTTTCTTTCTTCTATCTTTAGTTAGAATGTTATCTACATTCACAGGTACACTGTGTAAGAAATCGAGATCACAACAACCGGGTTTGACTAGGGCCTGGTTCGACCCAAAGACCTTGGTCGGAACGTAACCCGCCCAACCCAGTGACCTTAGTATCTCTGGGTCGGGTCATGTTGAGAGATGTCACGAGTTGGACCTGACACTAGCGACCCAAGCGGCTCTTGGGTCAAAAACAAATTCTAGTGGGCCGGCCCAAACCCGCCCATTTCTCACCCCTAACTAGACCTGTAGTGTAGCGTAACTAGACCTGTAGTGTAGCGTAACTAGACATGTAGTGTAGCGTAGCTTAATTTGGTATAACTTATAAGTTACACTAAATGTTAGCTTCAAATCAGTTACACTATCTGACGGTCAAAATTTTGTTAGCGCAAAAAAAGTTACACTAACTGTTAGTTTAGCTGAGATTATTTGAAGCTAACACTACCAAAAAATTTGAGAGAAAAATTTACACTACACTAACAGTTCGCGTAGTGGGGTTTAGCGTCAGCTAACACTACAGAATTTCCAGGAAATAAAAAGACCACTACACTAACAGTTAGTGGTCAAATAGCGTAGTGTAGCGTAGCGGCCCACTGTTGCTCCGAGACAGGTCAAGATGTTCGATGGGTCGAACAACTCCTTGGTGAAATCTATCCGTTACTCAACATCCCGTCATCCCCGGTGTGCCTTTACTGTGACAATCAGGGGGCTCTGGCCCTGCTGAAAGACTCCATCTATCAACATCGAACTCGCCACATCAACATCAGACATCATTGGTTACGCTACCACATTGCCCAAGCCAAAAATTTCGAGGTCAAGTATATCGCCACGAACGACAACATTGCCGACTTCCTCACCAAACCTCTCCAGCCAAAGAAGAATCAAATTGCGATCTCTCAAATCGCCCTGGGGGACATAAAAATTGACAAGGCCATCACTGCCTAGTGAGCAGGGGGGGCTGTGACGATACGGACTGAAGGGGGTTACTGCGGCAAGGCAGGTAGTCATGGGTGGAAGAAGGGTCAAACCTAATCTATCATCAGATTAGGTTTGAGCACGTTGTATTTAGCTTTAGCCGTTGTACACGTCTCTTGTCTCTTCTTTTCTCTTTCCTTCACTCATCTTCTTGTCTTCTCATTCGCACCGCAATAGGTGCTTAGTCGTCTCCTTCTCTTCCTTCTCTCATCGTCTCACTCTCGTCGGTCCTCAAGCAACCTCCTTAGCTCACCGCTGCTCTCTGGCATTTCTCAGGTCTGATCTCTTTTTCTTTCTTTAGTTCTCTCTCGTTCATTCTTCTCTCATCAGTCCTTCTCTTTTGTGTGTGCTCACTATGCAATGAATCACTCATCTTCTTGTCTTCTCATTCGCACCGCAATAGGTGCTTAGTCGTCTCCTTCTCTTCCTTCTCTCATCGTCTCACTCTCGTCGGTCCTCAAGCGACCTCCTTAGCTCACCGCTGCTCTCTGGCATTTCTCAGGTGCTTAGTCGTCTCCTTCTCTTCCTTCTCTCATCGTCTCACTCTCGTCGGTCCTCAAGCGACCTCCTTAGCTCACCGCTGCTCTCTGGCATTTCTCAACTCTTGCAGTAAATTAAGCCATGCCTTCACAAGGGGCAGAAGTGTTTCCTCAGAATTATTACCACTTCACTGTGTGATGATTAAGAGTATATAGGGCTCAATAATTCTGCACCTACTGCATCAGTAATTCACACACTTGTTAGTCAATAAGAGAGAAGAAAAAACCAGTGTGGAAGAGTAATTTTGATTGGGGTTATGAAGGTGCATAGTTGTCTCTTGATATTGGAGTATGAACAGAATATGAAGATGATATTCCAAATAAACATTCTAGTATTAATATTATTGCCATCTTTGATAAGAAGTATGTGTCACTATTTTCCTGTTACACCACAATTGGATTCCATGAAAAAATGTTGCACAAGCTACATCATACTGGTTTATAAATCCATTTCTATGCGGTCAATGCTGTGATGAATATGTTGCAGATGAGAATTGAATGATTTCACCCAGGGTTTCTAGTTGCTGGTTTCTCTAATTCATTTGTGGAGATGAGACAAAAACGCTTCAGCTTAGTGAAATTTTCTTTAACTGAGATGGTAGGAGAAAACCAAGCAGCTTACATGTCAAAAGAATTAAAGAAGGTAGCACTCCTCCAAAAAATATAAGAACAAAAAGGAAACAGCATGGGGTGATCCAAGGGTTTTCAGGACGATGAGAGATACCAGGGTTTGAGGTGACAATGCTCATTTCTGTCTCTTGTGGCGCCTTTAGAACTTGACCTGTTATATCTTGGAATAGCTGGGCAGAAACATCTTGTCGACAATCTGGACAGTTAGGTTTCTCTGATGTCAATAGCCAGGGACGAATGCATTGCATGTGAAAATTGTGGCCGCAATTTAGTGCGGGAGCAAAATCATCTCCTTCGTTAGCACACATCATGCCACATTCTTTCAGTTGATTGCTTTTTTCTAAGGAGCCATGCTTGGTATCTAAATCGACAGGGATGCTTTTGTGGAGAGAATCGCCAATGCTCGCGATTTGGCTACCATCTTCCTTTTGATTGATTTGAATAACCATTTCGGGCTTCTCATATTTTCAGATAAGCAAACCAAGATTTCAGCTCTCCCACCTCTTCCCCTCTTAAATTTTTTTTGTTTAAAATAATTACGCACACAGGTCGCTGGAGCAGTAGCCACATCTTCTTCATTTACACTCAAAGGGTGATTCAAGACGTTGTATTGGTTGGGCGCGGTCTCTACGCTTTGTGTCGCCGTAGGAAGCTGGCTGACTTCTATCTTGAATTCTGCTTGTAAGGTATTCGAAACAAGCTGAATAAAAGATAAAATCATTCAAGGTCAGCTTTGAAGATTCAGGGTTCATAGTAAATGGAAGAGTGCTTAACTATCAGGAGTAACAATAAGAGGATCATTGCGGCAATTATTTGAAATTATTCTGAAGAGCGGATTGCGTTCAACTGGGGGGAAAAATAGTCTGGGTATAGGTTAGAAGCAGTGGCTGAATGAAAGGTGTTTATGTCCGTTGGGGTAAACTTAATCCATGCGGTCTTCCCTTCCCCTGATGGTCTTAGCGGGAGGCTTCGTTAGGATTGTGTTTTGAAAGCTTGGAAGATAAAACTTCGCCGTGGTATTGGTTTGAACGGAAGCAAGTGTAGGGAAAGGCAGGTGATGGCGAGGCCGAAATATGTGTGTAACTCCCGGTGCGACTCTACCTCACCAGCTTCAAGTGCCAACATACACGCCAGTATACAGTGAAGATGCCTCCTTGACTCAATCTTTCATATTTCAAGATGATATGGAACACGTTTATGACTGATCTGATCAGACATCATCCACAAAACAGTGGTACTGAAGTTTATGCCTGAGCGTGAAATGTGCATTGAGATGCTGGGTCAGGCGGGCGTCCATGTATGTGCTGATTTCCTCCAACAAATAAAGCATAATTTTGGAGGGTCCAAACCAAGCTGCAACAGAAGTATTCGAGAGAATATTTAAGATGGGTAATTTTCAGGGAGCTTTGTGGGCGGAACCCCAACCGCCTGAGCCAAGAGGTGAGCCGAGAGGAAGAAGAGGAGGCTGATTTAGCTGTACAGAAAGGCCATATTTTAGAGTATACAGGGGGATAGTGCCGTCTCTGGCATCCTCATGTGTGATGACACGGATGCGCTCCGTGACGGCGTGTCTGGGCCGCTTTGCCCTCGCCCGTTGAGCGACCGCCGTAGTTTCCGAGGATCGGACGCTGTATGCCATATGACCCCCTTGTCGGCGGTTTACACTTCTCATGATCCATTGGTTCGCCTTCAGTGAAGGCGAACCAGTTTCTGGATCTAGATGTAAAAAATAGCCTTCAGCCTACCCAATGTTCACCCAGGCCCCAGCGGGTAAAAGTACCATCTTTTACATCTAGATCCAGAAACGGCAGATATCACTCATGAATGTCCATGTTTAGGATGTGTGGTAGGAAGTGGTCCAGTGGCTCATGGAAATATACTGAGAAAGAGCCCATAGGTGTCAAATATGAGGGTCCAAGAAGGACCGGAGCCTGCTGGAGCGAAAGAAAGACACAAATGTTTCTACACCTTTGCATGAACGATTCAGCAAAACAAATAGCTTTGCTTGTTTGTCTTTCCCGCCTACATAATATTGTATTAGTCACGAAACCAAAAACCAAGTGTGTGTAACAGTTCATATTCTGAAAGCGGTCGGAGTAGTGAAAGATTGGTCAATTCATATGTTGCTTTGAATATCATTATATTTCCCTCTGGAACCCAGTACGTGACTTTGATTTACGCTCAAGTAGTGCAGTAGTTCCAGTTATTCTTTGGGAGAAGAGGAAGTGTCCTCTTCGGGACTTTGTTGGCTCAAAATCCGAAGTTAGCTTTGAATCTTAGCTGTTGTGAGATTACTCAAAAGCTATCAGACATGACCTACGCTAGATAACATTGCTTATGATTGTTAATTTGTTCCTCTCAATTCTCAGAGCTTTGGAGGACAATGAAACTGTTACTGCGAGGACTACCCGATGGATGTCACGTTCAGTGACTCATCTAGCTTTCCAGTTGCATGCAAGAATATGGGATCCGATTATCTATTTTGGGGCTTCGAAATTCACAAGACTTGTAGGTTACTTGCTTTGAAACAAAATATACAAAAAAGCGTCTTCAAGAAATTCCGAAAAGGCAGATGAGGTAGTGGAAAGAGACTATCTTAGCTATTGAGAAAAAAAGAGATGCGACACAAAAATCAAATAGAAAGAGTAACTTGATCAGTCGAGCTGAAACTCAAGAGGTGCGATTGACTTGGACACGAAGCGAGTCACGATTGCATGAAATTCGACCACTGAAGCCAGAGAAACCAAAGATTGTCATTTAAAAAGAATGAAAAGGAAATGTTTCAAGAATCACATCGAAGCATTTGCCTAAGAGTATGCCTGTAAGGTATATATTAAGTCGTGATAGCATAAAAGAAGACGCGAATAATCCGGATTTCACTCCAGCTTTCAGACCAAAATCAAGACAATGGTGAGTAACAGTGCGGATTGACAAAGTGAAATCTTTGTTCGACTGGCTCCCGAATCTTTCGGCGTCTTTGGCGGACTACCAGGTTGATTGGTTGCACTTCCTGAACTGTTTGATCCCGCTTTTGCGGCGCCGTTTGTTCCTATGCTCGAGTTTCCTGCGGGCGTTGTGGCTCCACCGGCTCCACTGGCTCCTGCGGTTTCGAAGTACGATGCTGAGGCCGGTTGCCCAAGACAGTCAGATATTGATTGGACCTTCATGCCTGGGGTCTTGAGCGCTGCAGGCAAGAAATACTTTAGTGACAGGGCGACCGTCTGGCTAAACAAATCGTGTGCGAGAACTGCAGATACAGAGAGAAATAAATTTTAGCACCGCAATAGTTTTTCTATCCCGGCATAAAAGGCGGCTCATCCGCACACACCTATGAAACCGGTTTGCAGAGTGCTTTGAGTGGTCAAGAATCCTTGGAAAGTTTGAACAGATGATGCAGCAGTTGCGCTACCAGCAACCACTCTCCAATCTGGGCCGACAATTATAATCAGTCTTTCCTTCTCTTTAATGAAAAAATGCTATTGAAACCTCGTTTGAAAAATAGCTCACCGTTAGTGTCAAAGTTAGTGGTACTAGTTCGCGTCCACAAGATAGTCTTCAGTCCCATGGCATTCAAGATATATCTAACTCGATCATCGACGTCTACATGATTTTAAAGAGTTGAAGATGATCAGTGATTGAAGAATAATTTCTAGGAATTCTTCGACGACCAGTCTGGGTAATGCAGTGAGGCATCGAAATTGTTCTCGAGAACCTACCCGAATAAGGAGGCCTTGCACAAGTGGGCTGAATTCCAAGGATGTCCTTGAAGGCCTTCATGCTCCAAGCAAATTCAGCGACTATTTGTTCGTTAGTTATGGTGGTCAGAGAGGGATGCGACCAGGTGTGGAGGCTGATAAAGTGAGTTAGCAAGTCAGCAAACACGACACTAACTAACATAGGGGCCGTTTCTACTCGCAAATGAGGGACGACATACCATAACTGATGGCCGGCCATGTACTCAGCCCGAAGGATATCCGGTGAGCTTACAGCGCGAGATCCAACAATGAAAAAGGTGGCCTTTAGTTTATTTTCGTCTAAATACTGAAGCACGTTGGGTGTAAATTCCGAGGGTCCGTCGTCAAAAGAAGCCCCGAGAGTGCCCTTGGATGGACAGGTTGTGATGTCGGTAGATCGAGTGCATCCCGCACATGACCACCAACAATTACCATCTGGCCCCGCCTTGGCAATGGCATCAGCGTTGACGGTCGTATTAGCGCAGAGGTTTAATCCGTTAGGCTTTATAGCAGGCACTTTGGTCATATCTATTTTTGCGAGCCATGCTTTCACAACATCCGAATCCGTTGGAGCAAGCTTGTCGAGTGGCGGGTATTGACTGAGGTCTATTGAGACAGCGGGAAGCGGGGGTGCCCCTGGGATCGGTGACTGGGTTCCGGCAGGATAAGTTTTACTAAGCGGTAGTGGAGTGAGCGAGAGTGTCGGATCTCCACCAGAAGCTGTGGCCCCGCCAGTTTGGGCATTCGAGAGGAAAGGTGACGTGGTCAGAGAAATGACAACCAACGTCCGGAGTAGTGAAGGGGCCATTTTGGAGATTTAAAATCTGGAAACTGCAAAAGAAAAGGCAAGCAAAAAGGTTGGAAAAAAACTTTGGACTCAGATGCAACAAAAGAGATGCAGGGTAACAATATCTGCTGGTGGGGACTGGTATGAGGTGTTTGAGGGTGTTTGACGACGAAAAGAGTGAAAATATGCGAGTTTATTTGCTTCAATGATGTTATGTAACCAAGCAAAATATTCCAATTGTGCTGTATAGGAATTAAGTGGAGTAACAGGGAGAAAAGAATTGTATGGATGTATTGGTAGCTGTGTATGGGTATTGCCGGGCGATGGAAGTAATTATATTCTTTTTTATGAGAGACGTTTTCCAGCCCAGAAGCCAGTGCCATCCACGCAGGCCGCCTCTGACCGAGTACCATTTTAAAAAGGCGTCTTCGGCAACGAGGCTGAGGGTTATATTATACAATGTGGCCCAGGGGACCGCTTGGAGACTGACATCGGTGGGCATGGGCCGTACCACTCATTGCGGACAAGGACATCTTCAGGGTTGTAAGTTCGAAGCCTAATAGGAATCAGGATGGTCGTAAGACAGACTTCAGTAGTCAAGAACAGCCATCCTTCGGAGCCCAGGGAGGCGATCAAAGGCCAGTTTCGATTGCCGTCCATCAAACCGCTGAGTCGCTTAAACACTCGCCATCAGCTTCAAGGCCTCCGATTCTTGAAGCCTTGAAGCAACCGGTGTACATAATCGAGATTGAACCATCAACATCCGTCGGTAATCGGCAGACCTCCACCATCCATGCGATGTTAGTCTAACCTAGCTGTCGAACCCGAAAGACTTCAGTGCGAAAACGTTGGTCCATGTGCACCCACGACACGGCCGCAGACCCAGTGCGTTAAGTTGCATGTATGACTATGATGAAGATGAAGATCCCAAGGCTCAATCACATACAAAATCTCTGCACGCTCCACGTAATCACATCGATGCCGGCCTTGTGCCGGAGGCAGGATTCACCCTGTTCAGCCCCAGGTGCAGATTTGCAGTGAGCGTATCACAATTGTACAAACCAACTCGTCGATTTCATATGTGGATTTATGTATTTACAATATGAACCAGCATGAACAAAATTGAAAAGCCACACTTGGCGCTTTTTGTACGTGTGTGTACAACATCTTCCTACTTTCTGCGGGATACATAAGTTTGTGGGGCACATAAAGCGGTGGAAGAGACTCAGCCTCCTTGCCTCCCTCTAGCTTATGTAACACAAGCCCTTTAACCAGAGGGTCTAGTGCCAAACTCAACACAAGTCCCTCCGAGGAGGTCGCGAAGGTTGCGCAGCGACCTCCCGAGGAGGAACTTGTGTTAAGTTCGGCCTGGTCGTATGTGGCCAGGCGGCGTGATTCGTGAAGCAAGTCACCGAAGGAAGCAACTTCCGAGCCAAGTCGACGGCTTGGCGCGGAAGTCGGGGGCTGCCGCACATGTCTGGCATCTTCTTAGTGGAAGTGTCATCCGCCGGTCTGATCAGGCAAAAGGGCGGATGTAGGCGTCCGCGTAGCAGACCCGAGCGGAAGACCCTCAATCTGCATTTCCCCTCCGGGCGGAAAGAACGAATGGTCAAACACAAGCCCCTCAAGTTAGAGCCCGAAGGGCAGAAGGCCATTCACATGCCAACGCCGCTCACAGGAGGGACTTCGGAGCACCGGTGCTTAGGAGCTGGGTACATGGCTTGTGTCAAGTTCGATTTTGTAGCTTCGGTGTAAGTATTCACCAAGGTACCCGTTGATGGCTTGAGCATTACGTTCTTGGCGGTGTGTAACGACTTGGACATAAATTATCCCCTAATGGCAAGGGGACATCGAATTCCACCAAACGGGAATTCTGCACATATCTAGACCTCTTCCTCGCTGCTCGTGCCTTTAATCAATCCAGTCGCCAAAGGTTGACATATGTTTACACGAACACGTTCTTCAAACCATCAGACAAGACTCCTCTCAAACACAATGCAGCTATCCAACAGGTTTCCCATCTTGATCGTCCTCCTCATGCAGAGCGCGGTTACTTATGTGCAATGCTTTGGATGTCAGTACAAGCCAGGATTGGAGCTCTATCCAAATGCTATGTGCACAAAGGTTCCTCCTGCTCAGGATATAAATATTATGTCAAATGTTTATCGTAAGTCTTTCCTGGTTTTTCTATTCACAAATTATCTATCTGCTTACTGATTTTTTGATCTTGATTCTGTAGACATGGTTGCCCCTTGGAATCGCGAAACAAACACTTATGATTGCGCAAAGTATAACTCTGGTACACCGGGATGCTGCAAACAGCCAATAGTTGGTTCCAAACATTAAAATTTACTCTTTGCATCCATGCTATCTATCCCAAGACTAATTGTTTTTTTTTTTTTTTTTTTTTTTTTTTTCATTGTAGTTACAACCGCATGACATCCCAATTACTCTTTGGAGAGCATTATGTGTGGACATCAATGGAAAAACCTTCAATATCAATTACTTCCCCGAAAAACCAAAAAACAAAGGAGGAAAAGGAGGACAAAAGAAGCCTCCCCAATAAAAACTCTTGTGTCCTTTGTGTTCCTCACTCCAATGCATTTGTACCTAGGCCAATTTTTCAATGTCAAATTTAAACCCTCCTCACCTGTCGCTTGTGATCGACTTTGCCCCGCTTCCATGGGGGAAGGAGCATGTACAGAATCCCAAAAAGAAGAAATAAAAATCAGATTTATCCACTTTGAGGTCCGACAGAATGCCTAAACGTCTGGTTTTCCATTTTATCTCCATTTCATGTGACAGTAAGTTGTTCAAAAAGCTCTGTAAACTTCATGAAAACATTCCTCTATGTAGCCAGGCGACGTGATTCGTGAAGCGAGTCACCGAAGGAAGCAACTTCCGAGCCAAGTTGACGGCTTGGCGCGGAAGTTCGGGGTTGCCGCACATCTCTGGCATCTTCCTAGTGGAAGTGTGACCCACCGGATTGATAAGGCAAAAGGCCGGGTATACTCGTCCACTGCTCCTTTGTCTCGGCATAGTGGAGAAAGCTGTAAAAAAAACGTGTATACCATCCGGTGTTTTCTGTGTAGAGCAGAAAGACTAAAAAATGAACAAGAACCCTTGAGAGGAAGAGGCCACGTAGTATTTTTATAAAAATCAAGCTGTTGAAGAATGAGATAAAATGTCAGACTTGTACAAAGAGTAAGCTGTGGCTTTTTTCTTCTTCTTCTTTTCAAAAATTGATCTGGATTCTATAAATTAATTTAGACCAAGTTGCTTCCCTCAAATAAAGGGCTTAGGTCTTCCCATGGAAGAGAGCTCCAAAGTCCAAGAAAAGTGATTTGCACAGATAAATATCAAAATTCACCTTTCTGGGAAAAACATTATGGTATATGAAAAGAGGTGGTATTAGTGTTCTATTTTGTGCTCTATTTGGTCACTTCAAGTGATCATTTACAAGAAAGGAAAATAGACAAATGTGGAGAAAAATGGTTTAAGGCTCAGCTAATCTTGCTTTTTGGTGTTCAGAAGATACCATACATGCCAGTTGCATCTACATACTCATAAAATAATAGGTTCAGAGAGCTAACCAACTGAAATTCTATCTAACACTGTCTTCAGTCTCCAATTCACAATTTTCAAAGCTGATGTTAAACCAATACAGGTGCACAACCTTTCCCAACTCAAACAAAATCCCCAAAAGAGCATCAAGTCACGAAAAAAAACAGAATTCAAGGCAAATATGATTGTCAAGTAAGGATCTCTGGAAATTAGGACAGTTCACATTTGGATAAAATCTTGTTGATTTTGTATAGAATTTCTGCTTGCTGGTTTCATTTTTTTTTTTGGGCCTTAATAAAAAAACATAGTTTTTCCGCGTTTACACGCGGTTTTGCTGCGGCACAGCACACACGGTTTCCGTGTTTAAACACGGTTTCGTAATTAATTTTTTATGGCTTATTTTTCTAGTTTTTTTGAACTTTTAAAATTGTTTCCTAGGTTTCAAAGCGCGTAGAATTTAATTCTATGCACATTGAAACCTAGGAAATAATTTTAAAATTTCAAAAAAGCATAAAAAATAAGGTACAAACATGTTTGCAAACAATCAATTGAGAAATGAGTGAAAAAAATAATTAATAATTAAAATTCATTTTGATGCAAATTGGTTTTTACCATTAAATTATACACCTTTTATAGTGTAGGAAACAACTTTAAAAATTCAAAAAAACTTGAAAAATAAGCGGTAAAAAATTAAATACAAAACCATGTGTAAACGCGGAAACCGCGTGCGCTGTGCCGCAGCAAAACCGCATGTAAACACGGAAAAACCGTGTTTTTTTATTAAGGGAGTTGATCAACCGACTCCCAAATATTGGAGAGTCGACTCCCAAACCCGGGTTTCCCCGAAATTTGGGAGTCAATTCCCCAAACCCATTGGTGAGTTTGGGAGTCGGCGCTCAAAAAAAATTAAATAAAAAAAAAGAAAAACCCCGGAGGGGTTGGGAGTCGATGCCCCAAAACCAAGTGGTTTTGGGGTGTCGGTGATAAAAAAAAAAATAAAACCAGCGGCCGGGAGGATTCCTCCCGGTGAGAGTGCTTCATGGACGGCCAAGAGAATTTCTCTTGGGCGTTAAGGGTATAACCCTCAACGGCCGAAAGAAACCTCTCAGCCGTCGAGGGTGTACACCTCAACGGCCGAGGGAAATCCTCTCGGCCATCGAGGGTGTACACTTCGACAACCAAGAGGCACACGCCGTTGAGGGTACACCCTCGACGCCCGGGAGGAATCCTCTCGTCCGTCGAGAGTGTATAACCTCAACGACCAGGAGGCACACTCTTGGCCGTTGAGGGTATACATTCTCAATGACCGAGAGGAAACCCTCTCGGTCGTTGAGGTGTACACCCTCGATGGCCAAGAGGTTTCACTCGACCGTTGAGGGATACACCTCCGACGGCCAAGAGGTTTCTCTTGGCCGTTGAGGGATACACCTCCGACGGCCAAGAGGTTTCTCTTGGCCGTTGAGGTCTCGACGGCCGTTGAGGTGTACACCCTTGAACTCTACTCAACGGCCGAGAGGGTTTTCTCTCAGCTGTTGAGGTTGTAGACCCTCGACGGCTGAGAGATATTCTCTCGGCCGTCAAGAGCACTCTCCGAGGCTGGGAGGAATCCTCCCGGCCGTTGGTTTTTTTTTGGTTCTGGCATTGACACCCAAACCCCGCCGGGGGTTTTCTTTTTTTTTATTTAATTTTTTTTGGAGGCAGACTCCCAAACCCACTGACGGGTTTGGGGAATCAACTCCCAAATTTCGGGGAAACCCGGGTTTGGGAGTCGACTCTCCGATATTTGGGAGTCAGTTGATCAACTCCCTTTATTAATGCCCTTTTTTTTTTTTTTTTTTTTTGAAATTGACGGACACATGGGCCAATTTTGAATGTCCAAACTCAATTTGCTCTGCTGGTTTTCCATAAAAATTTAGTTGAAATTCTTCAAATGTGAACTGTCATATTGGGGCAAATACCAGTTCTTCTCATGATCAAATTAATCTCCATGAATCTTGTCCTTACTCTATATCTATTCTTTTCATTGGCAAATCTCATATATACACCTATTTCAAACTCTCTCCATTCTATCAGCCACATCAGCCCTGTGGCCTATGTTCTGTAAAACTGACTGCTAACTTTTCTCTTGAAGACTCGCTTAAAGAACATGGATGAAATATTATAGCTATTGCTTTTGTACTGTGTCTGTGTTGAAGATAAAAAAACTGGATTTTAGTTTTGATTTTGTGGGTTGCAACTTGCATACACATCACACAATCTGAGATAGAAGAGTTGGAAAGCAGTGAAAAACACAATGAATAATTGTAATTTTCTGATCCAAGATGCGGGTTAAAAACAACTCCAAAGAAACCATGGTGGATGGTCCTGGGATTTTAGTTTTGCTTCCCAAATCTGTGGCAGTATTTTTTGTTTCCTCCTGAAGTGATGATGGTTGATTCTTTTGATATATGTGTTTGAATCAGTTTTGATGGTAAGTCTCCATGTTTAAAATGACATTTGTTGTGTATACATTGGCCCAGTTCACGTAGGGTGTTTTTATTGAAAAGTCTGAAAAGCTGCACTGCTTGTCGCTTCTACTGCTTGCTTATGTTTTGCGTGGGACTGCACCAAAACTTTAAGCGAGAAGTCGTTAAGCGTTGCTCATCGCAGAAATTTTATTTGTGAACAAGCAGCAACATGAACTGGCCTATTTTACCTTCTCTACCTCTTTCTTTTCTTTTCTTAAGTCTTTGAGTCTTGAAAACTTGACAAGTTTGAGTGTTGTAAAGAGAAAAAAAACAGAGATGGAACAAGCAGAGACCAACGGTGGGCCAGTTACACTAACCATAGTGTTAGTGTAGCGTAGTGTTAGCTTTTTAAGCTACACTACACAAAAGTTACCGTTAGCGGGAATTTTTAGCCCACTAACACTACAGGATTTTTGAAAAACAAAAAAACAACTTTAGCGTAGTGTTAGCTACCTTTAATAAGGCACAACTAACACTACCCAAAATACTGTTAGTGAAATTTTAGTGGTGTTAGTGGGCGAACCCACTACACTACATGTTAGTGTAACTTTTTGCAAAGTTACACTAACAGTTAGTGTAGTGGTACCCTCAGTTACACTAACTGTTAGCGTAACTGGTGACAAAGTTACACTAACTGTTAGCGTAACTGATTAAAAGTTACACTAACTGTTAGCGTAACTGACTATGTAGTTACATGACCACATGACTAGCGCTAGTCTACCCTGAAGACAGTGCCTGATTGGGGGGCCTACATCCAGATCCCCTCAATTGATCATCATTTTTTTTCAGTTGGTACTGGGGGCCACTCAATTTTAGCCCCCTGCCATTTTTTAATTTACTGGGTTCCATTCCCACACTTACTTGTGTTCAATTTCCACTTTGACATCATGCAGCAAGGGTGTGTGTGTGTATGTGTTGAGGTGTATGATAGTCTGCTACCATTATGTATCACCAGAGTGTGGTGGAGCTGTTGGCATGGGCCATGACAACTACCACCCAACTGACCTGGCAAATCCCACACTTACTTGTGTTCAATTTCCACTTTGACATCATGCAGCAAGGGTGTGTGTGTGTATGTGTTGAGGTGTATGATAGTCTGCTACCATTATGTATCACCAGAGTGTGGTGGAGCTGTTGGCATGGGCCATGACAACTACCACCCAACTGACCTGGCAAATCCCACACTTACTTGTGTTCAATTTCCACTTTGACATCATGCAGCAAGGGTGTGTGTGTGTATGTGTTGAGGTGTATGATAGTCTGCTACCATTATGTATCACCAGAGTGTGGTGGAGCTGTTGGCATGGGCCATGACAACTACCACCCAACTGACCTGGCAAACACAAGCACCTGTAGCTTAGTTGGTAAAGGAAGCACTCTTGTATGTGACTCAGCATTGCTGAGGTTGTGAGTTCAAATCTCACCAGGCACATCCTCAGTTTGTTTTTCTCCACATCTTGTGCTGTGTTGAGAGAGTAATTAGGTAGACAAGATACATAAGGTTGTTGGGGTAATACACACGTGTGAAGGAGTGTTGAAATTGGAAATTCAGAGTTGGAAGTGTCGTCAATTAGGTAATCATGGTGGAAGGTAGTTTTAGTTGTCGTCGTAGGCTCGAAGGAGGACTTCGTTTCTGTTTCTTTCATTCACATTCAACCAGTGAAGATCTCAAGTTTGCCGAATCATCAAGATCAAGATCACTGGAAGTTTTCAGGTACTCAACCATTGTTTTCAAATATCAATAAGGAAGTAAACTCATCGTCGATTACGATTCAATCATGCAGACCAAAAACAGTCAACTATACCGATTCAGGAGGAGGAAGAAACCCACAATCAATTAAGGAGCTTAATCGTTTGTTGTTTCTCTGTGCTTTCATGGTGTCTGGTATCTATGTTATCAAGATTAACTAAAACATGTTCTGGTGTCTAGTTTTCTGTTCTCAAGTCTTCTTGTTGTTTTGATCTCATTGCACTGTTTAGTTTCGTCACTTAGTTATTTACAACAAATTTCTATCTACTACTACTGGCTGTTTGACGTGATTTGCAATAAAGAGAAATCTTCGAATCATCACATGCTGTTCATATTCTGCGGGATTGTGTGCAATCACGGGACATTGAAAATTGTCACCGTGGACCTCGGCCGTATCAGTCATATGAACATTTCACATAAGTTGTGCAAAAATCCAGCTTGAAACATCAATTTCTTTAGTTGATGAGTTACACTACACTACATGTGTAGTGTAACTTCTAATGTAGTGTAGCGTAACTAGGCATGTAGTGTAGCACAGTGTAGCTTAATTTGGTATAAGTTACGCTAAATGTTAGCGTCAACTCAGTTACGCTGTTGGTTAGTGGAAGTTTTGTTAGCTTTGAAAAAGTTACGCTACTTGTTAGTTTAGTGGCAATTATTTCAAGCTAACACTAAAAAAAATTGAGTGAAAAATTTCACGCTACGCTGGCAGTTAGCTCAGCGGTGTGTAGCGTGAACTAACACTACAGGATTTCCAGCAAAAAAAAATCAGCTACACTAACATGTAGTGGCCAAATAGTGTAGTGTAGCGTAGCGGCCCACCGTTGCAGAGACATAGGCTAAAAAAAACTAAGTACACATCTTGAATTTGAAACCTAAAAAATTGGTTTGGGAGTCGACTCTCCAACTTTTGGGAGTCAATTAACCAAGCCCCAAAATTTATACCTACATTTTTATCCCCACTAACCCCTGTGTCACTCATAATAACCACAAAAGGTTTCTCAATAATTAGGGAGGCGGGGCTAAGTCCATTTTTTTTTTTTTTGGATTTCAGACATCTGGTTTCCATCCAAGCCAAACCATTAATTCTATTTTTTTTTAAAAAAAATAAATAAATAAATAAACATTTGAATAAAAAAAGGTTTTCTGGGGGGTGTACCAAGAGCATGTTATCTCCTACTTATAGGATGGACTGGTGTTCACCAAGTTTGTGTGTCCTTGTAATACCAAACTGGATGAAATTGGGAAATAACTCCATCATAACCTTAGATTGTGCACAGTTGCCACATTTCAGGGCCTCAGATGGCTTCAACTCTGCAAGTACTGAACCAGCAGTGATGGTCATGAGTAGTACTATAAGCACTCTCATCCCAGACAAATTTTGGATGCTAATGGGGAGGGCTTGATATGGGGTACACTGAGTGCCTTCAAGGGGAATTGATCTTGGTACCTCTTGGGTGCTCTTTGATGAGACAGTGTGGTGTGATTGGGCTCTTGGAGTGGATAGGCTTGACTGACCACTATGCCAATAAGGGATGGTGAAGAGAAGAGTAGGATAAGCTTATTAAAGCTAGAAAATTGGGGGTATGCACAACATCATCAATCAATCAAGCTGAAGCTCGAGAGAGCCAACCAAGCCAAACTAGAATCTGAACAAGATGATTGAAGTATAACTGGTGGCATTCCTTCCAGACTCTTGTTTAATGGTTAAATTCCTTGTGAGTCAAACAATCCTACAGGCAAAATTTCTGTTCTTTAGTAAGCTAGTAGGGAGGGGAGGAGGATTGTGTAGTCCATTCTTCTTTTGGGGGTGCAACCATATCTGGTTTGCTTAAAGCTAAAGTGTTAATGGAGGGCCTCCCATTGTCATCTAATAGAGGCATTTAGATGCTCCTCTACAGTAGAGCCTAAATTTACAAAGCAACCAAAAAACCCAACCTGTATAAAGGCTTCTGAGAATTGAATAATCCTTTGCACCACAAATGATGATCTAAGATGTGTAAGTTAAATTGTGAAAGGGTTGCAGATCCAACATGAGGAAGTCTTCCAATGGTGTGTGACTTTTTGAAGAAAAAAAAACCAATCAAGAGGAAGAAGAAAAACAAGTTTCCAGGGGGTGTTTGTGTTAACAGACAATGAATGGGTCCCCTTTCCTATTGGTTCGAAGTGCCTCCCCAAGAGGTTTGTTCCTTGTGATACCAATGTGAATGGGACTTGTTACATCCAGAACAATTCTTTATGGGGAAGAATGCCAAGTGACCACATCTATGACAACGGTAATCTTTACCCTGTACCAATCCCCCACAGTTTGTGTTAGCATTCTTAATGGTATTACAAATACGCCATACAGTGTGTGGATCGCTTGGGTTCAGGGTGGTCTCAGTAGGATATGCCAAATCATCATTGTTCATGCAGAGTGCACATATCTGGTCGGTAGGTCGCACATACGCAGCAGGTACCGAGGCAGCAGTGATGGTCATGAGTAGGACTATCACCCTCATCCCAGACAAGCTTCAGGTGCTGATGGGGGGGGGGGGGTTAACTGGCTGGAGCAACTCGGACGGGAATCGACCTTGGTACCTTGTTGTGTGCCCTTCGATGAGACGGTGTGGTCTGATTGGGCTCTTGGAGTGGACAGGCTTGATCAGTTGACTGACCACTATGCCAACAAGGACTGGTGGGGAGCAGAGTAGGATAAGCTTATGAAAGCCAGAAAACTGGATGTATGCGCTACGTCATATGCTTACATCATCAGCATCGACTCGATCAAATTAACCTGACCAAGCCAACCACACCACACCAGCCAGAATCTGAGCAAGAACCAACCAACTGCAGATGGTCAACAAGAAATGGTCAACAACAACAACCTCCCAAGCACCACCAACTCACAACAACAACAACAACAACAACAACAGTGGCAAGTAGTATTACGACAATCGACTGGAAAACTAGTACTCTATCACTCAACCTCAAACAGATTATCAGTCCATCACTCAATCCCAACAACAACTGCATCATCATCAACAACAACAACTGAAAACTCACTCCAACTACAATCATCATCTCGTTCACTCTCAAGACAGCAGAACTACAAGAACCAAAACATCTCATACTGTCCACTCTGTCTGCAAGCACTCAACATCTCACCCATCCCAACCAACAATGACAACAAACAACAACAAGAACAGGGAAACAACACTCAATCGACTAGTACTCAACCGAACTCATACTATCATCAAAGATCAAGTCGTCCGTTGACTCGATCAGCCTTACCCGCCCATCAAGACTCACAACAACACCCTCCACCCTCAGTATCACAAACAAATACACAGTCACACACCATCACCCAAGAATCGTACTTCGACCTGCTCTCTCAAAGCAATACTCCCCTCCCCAGTCGACCCATCTCGCCCATCCAAATCTCATCATCCCCCCTCAGGCACTCCTCTTCAACCTCCTCGATCTCTTCTCTCGACTCGCTCAGATTCCCGGCCCATAATCCGTCTGATAATCATGAGGCAGAGGACTATCGTGAACCGCTGGGCCAAGAGAAACGTGTCGATGGCTACTATCATCGCTTCTTTATCGAGGTCTTGAAACTCGGAAGAGGCCAGAAAGGATCCGTCTTCCTGTGCACTCACATCCTCGACGGAAACGGTTCGCTTCTTCCGTCTATCTCTCCGCTTCTTCCTTTTTTGAATTGCCTGTTGATGTTTTGTGTCTTCTCTTTTGTGACAGCTCTCGGTGATTATGCCATCAAGAAGGTGTGCTTCAACTTCCTCATAATCATATCCTGATTGATTAGTATGCGGTGTGTTGGCCTGTTGTCCTGACTCGTATCTCGGTGGTCCACCAAAACCGCTCTAGATAGCCGTCGGTCAATCAAGTCATGAACTGTGAGTTCTTCGACGTTCATTATCATATCTTCCAATCGAAACCCTCCGAGTACTGAAAAATTTCATTGATTTATTTATGTTTTAGCATGCAAGTATTAAGTGAAGTGAAATTTTTGGAAAGTTTACGACACCCGAACATAACCCAATACCATCATGCATGGATCGAGAAAGCACAACTGTCGAGATTTGGGCCGAAAGTGCCGGTATTATATATCCTAATGAATTTTGCGAATGGGGGGACATTGGAGGATTATATCTGTCTACGGAAAGGGTCTAAAAATTCTTCCAGTCAAGTTGAACAAGCAGAAGATGAAGAAGGAACCGAGGAGGAACAAAGGCGGAATAGACAGAAACAACGCTTTCGTCAGCAGCGTACCAAACCTCAATCGATCCTTCCAGGCTTACTCATCGACCCTTTATCCGCCTGGAAAAATCTTCATTCTTCTTCTGATCCTCTTCATCATCATAATACACACAAGAAATCAACTCCTACCGATCGGGCTGTTCATCTGTTTGGCTTCGAAGAGATCTTCAGTATTTTTGAAGATACTTGTCGCGGACTTGGGTTCCTTCATTCTCAAGTCAGTTCACTACATACACCTACTATCTACCTACTCTCTTTACAAAAACACTCATCTTACGTCTTTTTTTGTGGGTTAGGGTATCCTTCATCATGATTTGAAGACTGAAAATGTCTTGCTTCATTGGGCTTCTGAAGACGCAATGATGTTTGTCTCTCCCTCCTCTCTCTTTCTCTTATACCTAAAACTCCCAAAAATTGTATCTGTTCGTGTCTCTGATTTTTCTCTTTTTTTGAGGGAGGTTTTAGTCCCACCGCTTTGATTTCGGATTTTGGGAGTTCGATTTCTCAATCGGAGAATTGGAGTCGAGAGAGAAGTGAGTTACAAAAAACCAACAAAAAATAACAACAATGGTCTTGATTAATGGAACTAATAAATGAACAATTTGATTTGTCTTATAGCGGGGCGGACGGGTACATTGGATTGGGTTCCACCTGAATCGTTAAAGAAAGATCCTAAAACGGGAAAGTTAATTGAGGTCACTCAAAAGGGAGATCTATGGCAACTCGGACTTGTTTTACATTGTCTCTGTTTCTTCAGGTAACGTGTTTTTTCTGTTTCTTATTTCAAAATCGGGTCAGATATGTTGTTAAACTGATTTATTGTAAGTCTGTTTGAATTTTCATCAAAATAGATTGCCTTATACTCATTCTGAAGATATCGATCTATTGAAAGATGAAATCATTAAATATCCAGGGTAATGATTACATCCGAAAACAAAGGAAGAGAGGAAAAAATTTGACTTATATGTTCCCTTTTGCTGGTGGTCAATACAGGTTTTTGATAGATGAATATCCAGCTGAGCAAGGAAGAACGAAGAGGAAGATGAACAACTACGAGACCGGGCATCATCATCAACAACAACAACATTCGAGTCGATCGGACCTTCCACGTGGAATGCTGGAGTTACTATCGGATCTGTTATGTTTGGATCCACGCTTACGACCGAGTTGCGAGCGCGTCTTGCGGAGCTTAGAGAAGCTTCGAGAAGAAACGAGCGGATATGAGACCTCGAGTCAGACAAAGCCTTCGGCGGGCGTCATGGTCCCAGGCGGCCAAGCAGCGGATCTGGGATCTACTGGCGGCGGTATTGTGGGGCCGGCCTCGGCGCTCGTCAAGCGGCGGCGGATCTTGATCGACCCTTCCGTCGATGAAGAGGACTTCTCGGTTCTCCCTTCACCAGACTCGATGATCAACTTACAACAACAACTTCAACAACAACAACCATCTACTCATAATAACCACAATAAGGAACTCTTCTCTATCCTACCTGACCCTGCTCCTTTATCATCATCATCCTCTCCTTATCCTCCTCCTCCTCTTTCCTCTCCTCTTATTAATCATCAACATCAACATCATCATCAACTTTTTGAGCCCGATCTCACGAGGAACTTGTCCCGTCATCCGATCCCCCTCTTCAGTTCTTCTAGCACCATCACTCCTGCATCGTTTCTGAAGAAGCCTTCTTTTAGGGTCTTGAATTCTTGCGCCTCGAGGTTTTCGGCGCTGGGCTTCGCTCTCTTTATTTGTTTCAAAGTTCGTCTCTTTCGATTCTTCTTTTTTTTTGGGGGGGGGGGGTCTCTTTTATTTCGTTTGGGTCTTTTTACGTAGATCGTAATATCTTCATTCAATCATTAATTTTTGTTTTTACTTATTTTATTTTCTTTGCAAAATCTTTATTGTTTCCGTCTTTCTCTTTGTTCCACCCAATTTCGATCCCCCCCCCCCAAAAAAAAAAATGTTAGCAAGCAGCTGATTATATCTCCTTCTTGAACGGTATGGTTGTAGTCAATATTCTTTATCCAACTTCTAAGCACTACCAACTCGCCTAAATCCTCGATGCAAATGAAGAACAAGGACTATGACCAACCTCAAGGTCTTGATCAAATCATGTTAATGGCTTTGATCATTTTCAATACTTTTGAACTCTTATTGTAAGCTTTTCTAATTCTCCCTTTTTCATGTCATTTCCTGACTGGTTCTTTAATTTTTGTTAAGGTGTCATCCTTTGGTTTCGGTCTTAGTGACTCTCTTTGAGGTGTGTAGATTGCATACCATACCGACCCCCCCCCCCCCTCTCTTTTTTTTCTTCTGTTCTCTCACCCGAATGGATTGATTAATGCGTGTCTGGGTGTGCTTTTTTTTCTGTTGTTGTTCCTTCAATTGGATCCCACTGTGGGATAATCGGATCTGGGATGGTTGGATTCCTGGGATCATTTTATAAGGTCTTTTGGATCACTTAAATCTGGTCCTGTTTTTTTTTTCCTGTAATCAAGTGTTTAATTTTAACCAGATCAGATCAGATCTCAGAGATAACCCCCTTACTTATTCATCAACCTAAATCAACAAACTTACCTCATGTGATCACAATGTGTATGTATTGTAATCAGATTTGTACATCCTTTTATTTTCTCAATTCTTTGGTTTGTTACATAAGTATATATATATATATCCATGTGTTGAGTTATGAAATCTGTAATCGTTCTCTTCACACCAGTACTTGAGTAGGACATGTTTCTCATGTTTGGATCTGTGAAAAGAATGAAAACAATACAGCCTTACATGCATATTTAGGTCTGAATCAGATTGTGTTTGTCGTTCACTGGAAATGTAAATACTTTGTTTCAGTTTGCTACAAGCTTGATGATCCGTTGATTGTGTTTATGTAGTGGATACTGAGCTTCAACATTTACAGCCAAACTGAGAAGGCTTGCGGCCTTGGTTGGCAGAAGCTTCAAAAAAAAAAAAAAAAAACCTACCGACTGAAGTTGGAATCTTTGGAAGAATACAGCACCCTGTATACCCATTTGCATACAGGGGTTACTTCAGTGTAAAAGCCCTATCTTTGTTCTCCCTCATTTCCAGGCCATGAGAGTAAGACCATTGGGATCCTATGAGGGAAAGTTTAGTCTAACTGGCTCATGACCTGCAAGCCACTCATGCTGCCTCCTGTAGGGCTGGCTGGCCGGGTCCCGTCCGGTCCTGTTGGTGCTACCAGCAGGCATGTTGCAACCTGTACATTGACTGTATTCTTTCAAAAATTCTGACTGCAGTCGGGATTTTTTTTTCTGAATCTTCTGCCAACTGAGACTGAAAGCTTTCTTGGTTTGGCTGTATATATGTCCAAACATTTGTTCATGCATCTTTCATTAATAATCAAATGCTGTGGTTTGCTGAAATTCTTGTCCATCAGATGAGGTCATCTTCAAGCTTCCCACCACATTACATGCTTCAATTATTCATCAAATATCCTGCCATAAATGTTTGTATATTCAACTTTGATCAGACAGGCTTACAGTGGGGCATCAACCCAACTTACTATAATGTGAATGGTCTTTAGGGTCCCAAACCGTTTTTTTTTTTTGGGGGGGGGGGGAGGTATCAACAACACATTCCCTGCCTGGGAAGAAGAATTGAGATTTTTGAGCTTGAGTATTTGCAAGACCTTGTGATTTTCACCATTTGCATGAAAAAAGAAATCCCAGAGGCAAATGTGGCATGCTTGGGAGTGATTCCAATGTGCTTAAGGTTGACCGTTGTAATAGATGTAGTAATGTGCCTTTGCAGATGGCAAAGACTGACCCAGGATTTCTTGGATGTCCAAACTTGTGAGCCACAGGATTGACATATTTTATTTTCAGACTTTAAGGCTCTTTTTCAGCCTTCCAAAATGGTTGAAACATGCTTCAGAGAATTCACTAAGGCAGATGATAAGATAGATGGTACAGACATGATAGAGGAGGTTGAGAGATATAACCAACACTGAAACAGAGACGAGACAAGACAGTATCAGGCATTTATTTGTATTGTCTCAGAATTTGAAAACCCAAAAATACTGTATTTGTGTTGTCTCACTTTCATGAGACAATACACACGTCTTGTCTTTGGAAAGTGAGACAGGTATTCTGCATTGTCTCAGAGTGATGATCCCACCAAAAACATCTTTGATACACATGATATTTGGCCGTATTGAAGAAAAAAGAAAAAAAAATGAAGACAATTTCTTTTTGCATTTGTAAATCCAAATCCGAGACGGTGGATTTTCTCACCAAAAAAGGAATTAATACTGATACCAGTATCAGGCTCAAAATAAAGACGATACAAGACAATACCAAATATGTGTCTGGTCTCTGTTGCCCCGTTGGTTACTATAACCCCACCAATATACATGGTTACACCACATAGTTATGGATTTAGGCATGTCCAAATACATGCATGCGGCTGAGAAAACCCTTGCTGGTGTAGAAGCTTAGCAGTGACAATTTGGAAATCTACACATGAGTACAATTTTGTACCCACAGTAAAATTAGGGCCTTGTAAAAAAGACTCCCTTGTGTTGGGAATTGTTCCTCCAAATGGATGGCCAACTTTGGGAGTGGGCCATCCGTTTATATTAATATTTGTTTTTATTTTTTTATTTTTTGGGAGTTGGCTCCCCAAACCACCCCTTGCACTTGGGGGGGGGGGGGGGGGAGTTGCTCTCACTTGAACAGAAGGAAATCCTTCCGGATGACAGGGGATAACAGCCCCATCAATTGGAAGGAATATCTTCTGGTCAACGGGGTAGCACAAGGGGTGGTTTGGGCAGCCGACTCCCAAAAAATAAATAAAAATTAATTCAAAAAAAAAAATACTACTTGGGAATCAGCCATCCATTTGGAGGAACAACTCCCAACAGACATCCCTTGACGGTATTTGGGAGTCATCAACAAATCCGAGGGAGTCATTTTTCTAACCCACAAGAAAGTTATGTGTGAGGGTAAATTCCCCCCCCCCCAGGACAGCCCCTGGCTGTCAATTTTGAAATTTGCGGGCAGGGCAAGGTGGGTTCATCCCGTCTGCGACTGTATAAGGACAGATCCGGACAAAAGTATGGGTTATCACAGAGTAAAATACACACATGTGGGACTGTTAAAGCCCACAAAGTCTGGAATGGTGAGCCTACAAAGAAAACAAAAAACTTTGTTGTTAGGGCAGTGGAGGCTGAGTCCCTTGAGCTACGGAAACTACGGCAAGCCTCAAAAAGCTTATAAATCTACAATAGGAATCAGGGATGGGCCCCATCTGCTGTCCACCATTAGATTCATAGGCCCAAATACAGTTTGCTGGTGACCATAGACAAGAAAATTGGTTGGGCCACTGTAGTCTAGCATACATATATTTAGATACATATATGTGTTTGATTATCATCATAAGAGAAAAGTTAGTTGTGTGTTGTACATACATGCATGTATTGATGTAGATGCTATTTAATGTAAGAGAAATTATGTACATGATCCACAACACTGTTAAAGTAATACTACACAACATCTTTGAATGGTTTGAATGTCAATACATAATCTGCTTTGGAGAAAAAAAAAAAAAAACAGTCCATAAAATATGTTAATTTTCTCAATAAATAATAAAGGAAGTACAAACACGATTAAAGATACATATGTTTGAAAAGAGAAAAAAAGAAGTTAATTAGAAGTGAATTGCCAACAAATTTGCACATGAGAGAGGAGATTAAGATGACAAAAGTCGATCTGATGGTTATCGAAATGGGTGATTATTTCTCCTTGACGATGATGATGATGGTGGTACTGGTGCTGCTGATGATTAAATGAAGAAGCGGAAGAGGAAGAATGGGTGTTTGAGGAGGAGGGAGTGGATTGGTTGAGTTGATCAGACAAAATGGGCGAGTGATCATTTGAATGAAACGCAGGTATGAACCCTATCCACATGTATATATCGAAATAAATCAAGATCAATCATCAATAATAAGTACAACCCCACAAAAAGAAGAAAGAAGAAAGAAAAAAAGAATTTGGAAATGATCAGATGAGATGGAAAGAAGGGACTAACACAAGTATCCTAATGAAACCACATCGGTCATCAGGGAAGCATGTTTAGAGCCCGTTGAGCCGACGACAAATTTACATTGAACTTCACGGGTCGGATCGATTTTGACCCCGCCAAGGTTTTGAATGGCTTGAGAACCCTTGACTTTTTTCTTCAAGTCTTTCGAGTTGGAAGCCGATTGCGGGTTTGGATACAATCGCACCGGTGTCAACAGTCGAGAACATCTTTCTTCTTCTTCTTGCTCTTGTTCTGATCTCAAGCTTTGCGCTTGGTTCATCGATCTCGACGGCGAACTTCTTGGATGCCCATTCTCGTCTTCTTTTCGTCCTTCGTGCGGCTTCGGGCCCCGTATGTTCGTTATACTCTCCGGACGGACACTCGTCGAACTCGATTGAGTCCCGATCGAGGAAGATCCATCAAACTAAAATCAAAACCCACATCAATAAAAAATCAACATCCCAATATTTTGGATGTGAACAATCTCAAAATCCAATTCAAGATATTTAAAGAGGGGGGGAAGAGCCAAGATGACGAACAAAAGAAGGATTTCTTGCAGATTCTGAAGAAGAAGAAGGAGGAGGAGGATGCGAAGGATTTTCACCAAAAGAGGCGAATTTGAGCACCAAATCTGAGGAGTCTTCCCAATCGATATCCATCTCGACTGGTGATTCTCTGACTGAAGACGGATCTTGATCAGGAGGATGGTCGTGGGGATCGAGGAACTGGGCCTTAGGAAATGTGTTCTCTTGCTCCAGATGGTGGGTTGCTCGATCTATGCTGTCGATATACGAGCTCTTGTAATGTGCCAGCTTTGTCAAACAAACCATCTTGGTCAGTAGCAGACATAAAACGACGGCAAATGAGTTTGATTGGAAGAGAGAAAAAGGGTGGAAGAGGCTCACTTGAACAGCAATCTTAGTTTTAAAAGTGAGCAGATTGAAGTAATGTTCGGACGGATTGAGGAGGATTTTGATCCATTTAATTTCGACATGAGCGGGTTTGAAGGGCAGGGAGGAGTTCAAGAACAAGCGCGCGTCGTTTCCCAACAAGACCTCGCCCCAATAACCAAGCCATCTTCTTTGGGATGGGATGCTGACCCCATGGCGAGTCGAATTGGGATCCAGCATCCGTCGCCCGGTGTGGTACCGCAAGAGATCCGAAATCCGCCCCGCCATTAACTCCGCATTCGTCCTCGTATTCTCAAATCTTTTGGCTTGTCTTGGGCTGTTTATCCATCATCACATTTTATATAAAGAATCCAGCCACATCTTAAGAATTCTTGTCTACTTTTCGTCGGCGTAGATCAGTTTTTGGAATCGATTATGCTTACCCTGTTGGTGTCTTATCAGAGTCTCCTGTCTTCTCCTTATCCAACGATCCTGTCTCTTGACCAATTTCTGAGAGATCTTCAAGCTTCAAGTTTTTTGTATCAAATGAGTTTGATTGGTGTTGTTGGCTTTCGTCAGAAGGGAGATGAAAATCGAGCTATATAAAAGTGTAGAAAGAAGAAAGGACGACTTGAATATGTGCTGGACATAGATGAATGAAGTGTGGAGAGGAAGAACAGACCAGCGAGTTTTGATTTGGTATACTCGGATTTTCGGCGATGAGCTCTACGAGGGGAGAAGTAGATGGAGCCGGGACGACTTGGAGCAGAGTGTCATTCGGGGAGATTGGTTTAGTATGATCAGAGGCATCTTGGGAGTTGGAAGTGTCGATCAATGCTTTACGAGAGTCGGTTGGGTCTAAATTAGGATCATCGGGCAAGGCTGCTAGAGTCATCAGATACGAAATCGACATCGTCCCTGATCTTCCTTTACCGGCTTCATTTGCATCAAAATCGCTTTTCAGTTTTATTGATGTTGAGCGGAATATAGTTGATGAGAAGGTGGTAGATACCTTTGCAATGAATCACCGCCATATTCGAGTCGGATGACGCAAGGAAAGAGGCGATATCTGACACCTTTTTTTTGTGATTCAACCGCAATACAATAGCGAAACAACGGATTAGCTCCTCTTGTTTCCCTTTCTTCTTTCAATAATCCATCAATAAAAAAAAAACTGGATTGTACTAATATCTGGGGATGGATATTACTGACAAATAAAGGGATCATCGACAATGGAGGTGGATGATGATCGGGGAACGGAAACCTGTGGACTTGATGATTGAAAAACTAAAAGAAAGCGTTTCTTTTTTTTATGTTAGATCATGTAACGTATCATGACTCCAAGTCAGTTATATAGATACTTAACTGAGCTATCGTAGTGGTTTTCGGTCAGAGGACAGAAGTTATAGATGGTATAATCGAGACCATGACGGGCCTCTAACCAGCGTTTGACCTGCTTTCTTTGTTTCATGTTTTTTTTTTTTTTTTTTGTTGTGCCCAAATGATAATCAATTTCCCAATAAACATTCAAGTATATTATAGGAGAAGAAAGGGCAGCTTACCGTGAGTTTCTGTAAATGGTTTCTATCCCACTGGCAGGAAATCCCATCCTACGATATCACGGCCAGGGATACAAATTTAAATCAGTCTAAAAGAGGGTGAAGGATCGTTTGGAGAGATACATCGATCGGGCTTAACAGGATGATTTGGTTAGTGAGGTAGCATAGGTCCAACTCGACTCCGATCTGATGGTCTTTCAATCTGCTCTTATTCCCACTCACGAGTTCTGCAAAGTACATTCAAAACAAGGACAGTCAGTGTCGTCGGTTTGTTTGTTTAATGAGTTGACGGAAAGTTATAACTCAACTTCTGATTGGATTGAAGTTCATCGTTGTCCTCTTCAAGTGTCGAATTTCCGAAGACGTTCTTCTTGAAAATTTAGAAGCGTTCCTTCAGCTCCCATTGAACCGACGAGCATTATGAAGGGCCCCGTGCGATACCATCTGTCTGGGGTCTGTGTGGTACACTTTTAAGTTGTTAAGTGCTCATCATGGAAGCTTGAGCGCAATCAGTCTTCAAGTGTCCCCTTCTATTTCTTATCATCCTCACTCCCGATAACTATATTTGCCGTGGTTTTCTTGAAGCTGGCCTCACTAACTGTCATCGGTACTGGACTATTTCGTAGTTCTAATTTGCAGCAGACACCATTTGTGATAAAATGTGTTCAGTCCAAGGAAGACCTGAAAGAGGATGCTGGTCTATACCTGTTTTTTTGCTACCTTAATAGGTCTTTAATGTGATACCAAATTTGGAAACTACAACACCTCTGCAGGTGATTTGGTTTCTCAAGAAAAAAACTTATAGCTGTTGCTGGTGTGTATCCTTCGCCACTTGAATATGATTTACAAGGGCTTCAAATCAGGAGGACATTTATCTGATAATTACCCTCAAGAACAAATTTTGTAATGAGGCCACTCTTCAAAGAATCTAGATCTTTTTGGGGCACAAATACTTGATGAGCTTGTTGCCATAGGCATTGAGAAGTAACCTTTACTATTAGTGAGATGGCATTGGGAGCGCGAAAAAACATAAATACAAATGAAGATGTTGTCTGACTTGGGGATATAGGATTGTTAATCGACCTGAATTTATCTGAGGAAACATAATATCGAAAGTTGATCCGGTTGGATGGAAATGAATGTATTTGAATTTGTAAAGAAAGCAAGCATTAAAGACCTGGGGGGGTCTTTTTTTTCGGCTGGTCTTGCGGGCTACCACTGGGCCAGTAAGACAGCAAAGGCCATTGGAAGTCTGATCCATCGATTTGTTTGCAGTTGTTGATCAATCTATCTGGGTAAAATGTGTGCCCCATGTCCTGGATTTTCGACGAAAAAGAGTAGTACTTGGTGGTGAGCGTTCGTTTGGGTGAGTATCAAATATCAACCACTCTTGATCAGAACGTACCTCATCATGGGCACAACATAACTGTCTTTCGTATTCACTGTCCAAATCGCAGTAATAGGTCGATCGCTCTTCGTTCCAAGGCGCATCAATTGCTAGATGCACACAGAGTTGCAAAAACAAAAGAAAAGAGCCATGTCTTAGGCTCAAATATTGGGATGATCTTTTGGTGTACCGACTGGGCCGAGGGCGTATAGTGTAAACGGGATACGTACTAGTAACTTGGTCGCCATCAGCGGTTACTTTGAGACAACCAGCATGTGGGAAACCCCATACTTGGTAATTGTCTTTGCATCCGAAGGCTTCGACATTGGAAGTCATCATGCTCTGGATGAGGAGGACGACGAAGGCTGGGAACATCTTGGATAACTGCATCTTGAAGTTTCTCAGAATATATATGTTGCAGTGGGTAGTAGGATTGGTTTAAATATAAGATATAATAGGTAATGATCGTTGCAAGGACTGTTGGAAGTCAAGTAGGAGGTTTTGGAACCAAGTGCGTACGAAGAGGGGTTGACGGAGAAATACTTTCAGTGGCGATAACATCACCAGCTTTTATCACCAGGAACGTCTGCAAGCTCAGCCAGGTGATTTCGGAATGAGTCCTGTCCACTTACACCTGTGACTCCAAGCCCATGATCCAGCTTGCCCCCAGTTTCACCTCTGCAGACATCCAAAAATACAAATCCTCATACAATCGAACCCTTGGTGTGATCGTCCAACTTTCCAAGTTCTTGTACTACATATAGTCTTCTCCAGCAGCGTCTGCCAAGCTTAGAAAGGTGATTTCGGAATGAGTCCTGTCCACTTACACCTGTGACTCCAAGCCCATGATCCAGCTTGCCCCCAGTTTCACCTCAGGCATCCAAAAATACAAATGCTGATACAATCGAACCCTTGGTGTGATTGTCCAACTTTCCAAGCTCTTCGCGGTGTCATGGTCTTCAAACCCTTCTATATGTATTGGCTGGGGCTACATACGGAGACCCGCAAAACCAGAACCCAAACCGGAACCCAGGAAACCGCTTATAAACCGCTTATAAATGTGAGCAACATAAATTCCTGAATTTTTGGTAAATTCATGCATCAGAGCATCCACATCAGTCGTTAACTTAACCCGGATTGAGGCACTTAGTCCAGCCTCGCAACGTCCAGATTACAACAGGATCAACTTGACTCAGATCTCCATTTGGAGCTAGTCGGGTCTAAATCTAGACCCACTAACAGCATCCGCATCAGTGCGGGTTAAAGCTAGGAAGGATAGCAATCGAAAGTAATTTTTACAGGAAAATGCTTTTTACCATTAAATTCTACACACTTTAGAACATAGGAAACAATTTTAACAATTCAAAAAACTCAAAAAATAAGCGGAAAAAAATTAATCAGAAAACCGTGTCTAAACGGGGAATCTGTGTGTGCTGCGTGCAGCAGAAACCGCGTGTAAACACCGTTTTTACAGGGTTTTTTTGTTAATGCCCTAAAATAATAAGACAAAATGAAACAATAAAAAGAAACACACACATCTACATATAACTAAAAAAATTGGCTTAGAGAGCCAAACAAACTGTCATGCAATCTAACGCCGGCGTCGACCTCCAATTCACATTTGTTGGATTTGTCGACGTTGGCGTTAGACCGAGGCAGACAGGTGTCCAACTGAAGAAAACCCCATAGGTCATCGACCAAAACCCCCAACATCCGGGGCAAAAACAACCAGCCTCCCCAAATTTGGGGGCATATACTAGTAGTAAAATAATGTAATGAAGGAAACTGTTGGATTGAGAGGGGATTTGAGGTGATAATCTTGAAATCATGAGGCTTGAGGGTATTGATAAGTTGAAAATTGAAATTTGAAATTTGACCTTGAGGGGGCCTGTACTGTTTAGAACACCACATTGGTGACAATACCATATATCTGTTGGAGAAAAGAGGAACAATCAGACTACTCAGCAAGAAAAAAAGGAAAAGTGAATTGTGATGCTTACCTTGTCCCTCAACCCAAACTTTTCAATGATCCCCCGGACTACTTCAGCTAGATACTCACCAGTTTGACTTTTTTGTAGCCTGACAAAGTCTAGAGGCATTGCCTCCAAATCAACGTTGATATGTTCTCCCTCAACCAAGCAAGATAACACTGTTCCTAATATGTCATACCCATTTGGGGACTGCCACACATCAAGACACAAATACATTGCACCTTTGTGATCCTGTTGCAAAAGAAGCAAAACAAGATTGAGTTCAAATAACAATAGATTTAGGGAGTTGGTCAACTGACTCCCAAAAATTGGAGAGTCGACTCCCAAACCCGGGTTTCCCCGAAATTTGGGAGTTGATTCCCCAAATCCATCCTTGGGTTTGGGAGTCGGTCCACCCAAAAAATTAAAAAAAAAAAAAGAAAAACCCCGGAGGGGTTGGGTGTCGATGCCCCAAAACCAAGTGGTTTTGGGGGGTTGGTGATCAAAAAAAAGAAAACCAGTGGCCGGGAGGATTCCTCCCGGCCGTGGAGAGTGCTCTCTTGACGGCCGAGAGAGTTTCTCTCAGCCTTTGAGGGGCTACAACCTCAACGGCCGAGAGGGTTTCTCTTGGCCGTTGAGTATAACCCTCAACGGCTGAGAGTTTCTCTCGGCGGTCGAGGGTGTACACCTCAACGGCCGAGGGAAACTTCTTGGCCGTTGAGACCTCTCGGCTGTCAAGGGTGTACCCCTCAATGGCCGAGTAAAATTTCTCGGTCATTGAGGGTGTACACCTCAACAACCAAGGGGTTTCCTCACGTTCGTTGAGAATGTAAACCCTCAACGGCCGAGAGTGTTCCTCCCGGTCGTTGAGAGTATACACTCTCGACGGCCGAGAGGATTCCTCCCGGCCGTTGAGGGTTTACATTCTCAACAACCAAGAGGAAACCCTCTCGGTCGTTGAGGTGTACACCCTCAATGGCCGAGAGGTTTCACTCGGCCGTTGGGGTGTATAGCCTCGACGGCCGTTGAGGGTTATACCCTTATGTAACGCCCGAGAGAAACTCTCTCGGCCATCGAGAGAGCACTCTCTGCAGCCGGGAGGAATTGTCCCGGCCGCTTGGTTTTTTTTTTTTTGATCACCAACCCCCCAAAACCACTTGGTTTTGGGGCATTGACACCCAACCCCTCCGGGGTTTTTCTTTTTTTCCATTTAATTTTTTTTTTTGGGGGGCCGACTCCCAAACCCACGCATGGATTTGGGGAATCGACTCCCAAATTTCAGGGAAACCCGGGTCTGGGAGTCGACTCTCCAATTTTTGGGAGTCGGTTGACCAACTCCCTAGATTTAATACCTTGAGAGAGTCTATGGGATCCTCCTGCACAGCTGTGTATAATCAACCAATGTCTTTTGATACAGCTTTTTGTGTTGGTAAATTTTTGAAAACAATTGGGTGAAATATTCCTTTGTGTGCTCGTTTGCCAAGAGCTGAAAATGGCCAGGCTGCTTCAGCACACCAAACTGCACAGAGTTTTGGTACCTGTTAGATCAAGAAATTCAGTAACAAATTCTTCCAAGGGATACAAAATAATTCTGATAATTACCTCTTGTGCATCAGCATTGCCTGTGTTAGACACACCTACAGATGCACACTTTTGTCTTTTGTATCCTGTACCTTCTTACTGCAAGTTGCAACATGCTTGGAGAGATTACTGGGGGATAAATCATAAATTGGTCAGGTGATTTTTCTGCCACACCTGGAAGAGGACAAAGTGCAAAGGCAAATCACTAGGTGCACAAAAGATGTAAAATATGTGATGGAATCTCTTACAATTTTCATGCATAAGATATCATTTAGCAGCCGTTTTTCCTTCTGATCAGATAGTTCAGCTGGGGGGTGGAAAGAAGCATAGGAGGGTCTGAGTTGGTTCTTATGAATTCTCAATGCCTTTACTCAAAAAATAAGATATTGAGATATATTAGTCTTTTGATTGCTTTTGATTGATCAAGTTGGTCAGGACACTGATGAAGATTTAAAGACAGCTTACTCAGCTCTTGTTAATCAGTGAGTTCCTTGGTCTTGGAAGCCTGAGTGCTTTCAGGAGATTCATTGTCTCAGTTGCTAGTACTAGAGCTTGTTCCCTCATTGGACTTAGCCAAATCAATGACCTCTTGAGCCCTGTTCTTTTGTGATTGTTGCTTGGACCGAGTGGGGGCATTAGAAGTTGAGGAGGTGGGTGATGGCATGCGGCGCTTATTGCTGTTCCCCCTCCCTGCCATAGTCTTGAAGCAATAGCCAGTCGCAATTGATGGGGTTGTTGGCGATCAACAAAAGCAGGCTTGTTAATGAGTCTGAAGAGCAATCATTAACATAACAAAAATAAAACATTTACTCACATTATTGGATCCAAAGCATATCAGTCAATTGAAGACAATGCCAAATTAAAGTCCAACAATACGTTGATTAGAGATTGTTTTTTGGTACCCGCCGCTAGGTACCTAGCACCGCTTGGCAGGTACCGCCTGCACCCGCCCCGCACCTGAAATTGCTTCAGGGTTGTGTTCCTGATTTGCACAGTAGTGAATTATTTTAAAAGGAAATTTTGAATCCTTTTCCATTGAGGAGGCTGTTGAGTAGGAAGTGAGAAAGGCAGTCCCATGAGGTGCTTCCATGAGCTTGGTTTTCTGGTGGGTCTGGAATTCTTGAAGCGCATTGAGTACTTTGTATGGGTTGATCATGACATCAGGTTCAAATGCGGTTTTATCAGTGACTTGGGTCCAAGTCTCTGTTCATGAGCTTGCCAAGGATAAAATAAGAGGTTATTTTCTTTGGCATGGTCATATTGACGGTGTACATGTCAATCAGGGATTTTCGAGTCACATGAATGTATTTTTGAAGATTGCTGTTGTAGTTCAGCACAGTGTAACTCATGAAGACTCTTCCTTGATTTATGACAGAGTGTGATGTGTACTGGTCAGCAAGTTGTTGCCACAGGAGGAAGGAGTTTCCATTGTCAAGGAATTGACACACTCCCTATAAAATTGAGAATTCAGTCAGGGGATGATGATGGTAATAGCTTTGTTCATTGCTCTAGTATGCTTTGCAGTGGTGGTTGTGGTTGGAACTGGTACGGTTGCTAGACAAGTTATGCACACGTTCCAGAGATATTTTCCCCTCAGATAGACCTTCATGCATCCATACCATGATGAATAGTTGTTCGCGTTCAGGATGGGGAGAATTAGAGCTTTGGACTTCACTGATTGAGGCTGGTCTTCTTTGTCCATTGCTTGCCTTAAGTTTGATTTATTGGTTGTTTGTTTGGTAGAGAAAACAAGACTGTAAATCTGTGAATGGTCAAACTGAAGTGTTTCTTTCTTATGAGTGAATGAGAAATACACTGAAGAAGAAAAGAGAAAAAAAAGAGAGTCTAACCTGAAGGCAAACGACTACAAGTGAAGACTAGAAACAAGAATAGAGTGAGACTCAGAGAAGAAAGAAAGAAGAAACTAAAAGATGTTCTTGTTTTCAATTCTGAGAGAAACATGATTAGAATTGATTAAGACATTGATGACCTACTATGATGAACAACTGGGTGACTTTCTTGATTTTTGGAAATATGTTGATAAGAAGGGAAAGCACAAGGTTGGTCAATGATTAGGTAGGTTGGAGGAAGGAAAGGGGATTGATAAAGATGAAAGAGTATTGAGAGAGGTGGAAACGGCTAAGCTCTGTCAAGCGGTAGAACAGGAGCGTTGTAGTAAAGGATTATTTTAGAGAAGATAGTGCAATGAAGAGTTTGTAAATATGTAAGGCCTGAATGATTGACCTTAAGGCTCCACAAGCGGAAAGAAAAAGATGAGATGAGAGTATGGTTTAAGTATTGATTGATGAGGAGATCTGTGCTGAAGGTTTGCAATCAAAGCACACTTTCTTTGGTTGTGACACAAAATTGTGATGATTTCATGTGCTCTGACCTAGTCTGGAGGGAAACACGTTTGAGCACATAGTGCTCAGATTTCAACAAAAGAAACTAAAGATCTCATTTGCAGGAGCAGTGGTTGTCATGTAGGAAATCACAAGTGCGGGTGTTCATGGGATAAGGAAAACTTCTCTAGGTGCAGCTTGGGTGGTAGTAATCATCATGAATCTCTATAAGAGATGAATCAACACTGGGACTTGTGGTGTACAGTTATTGTACTCTTTGTTTCCTGGGCACATGGCTTATTTCTAGACTGGTGTAACTGCCAACTGGCTCTTGTTGAGTAATTCCAATCCAAACCCAGAGATTTTATTTAGCTTTTGAAGTAAATTTCTCAAAGAAAACAATGGGAAATGGTTTGCTCATCTGTGCTCTGTAGTCATGTCTATAGACTATAGTGTACATTTAGGGCAAATTGTGACCCCACCGGAAAGTGAAGAAAGGGTGTGATAACAAATTGTTTTTAATAATTGTCCTTTGTTGAATACATAAAAGAGGTTATTTAATTGGAATACCAACTGGCATGGATCTGTGATACACAAAGAGCAGTAAGTATGTCATCAAGACATGCCACTACCATGGCAAAGGCCATTGGAACACATCTCCATCTTCTGTCCTGCAATCGCTTAGGAATTGATCCTTAAGTAATCTTTTTGGCATATTCTAATGAAATAGGAGTGGAATCAGTCACAGGGATGCTTTTAAAAAAATATAGCATAAATCTTTGAAACAAACCTCGTCTTTGGCGCAGCACACTGGCCTAATGAATCCGTTCCGATCCGATGAGCAGTCATAGGTAGCACCCTCGATGATCCAATGGGCGTCAATTGCTACAGGGTGAACAATGACCACGAAAGATTCATGTCAAGCTAACGGTTAAAAAAACATGACCATGGTACCACTAAAGCAAAAGAGGTGACTCACTCTCAACTACATCTGCCCCTGCAACTGATGCTAGACAGCCAGAGTAAGGAAAGCCATGAACATGGTCTAGACATCCAAAGGCTTCAACAAAGGAGCCCATGCCATGAATTAGAAGTACTATGAAGATGAGGAGCATGCCAGATCACTGAATGTTTCGAATGTAATAATCTTTTGGGAAACTTGCGGGATCTATTTATGTGTGTATGTGTGTTGGTGCAAGGTGGGAGTAGGAGTTGATGGTGATGCCGGGCACTTCCGCAACTGGAATCCTATGTACCAAGGCTTGAATAGATGAGAATGTCTGCAGAGAAATTCTAGAATGAGCGCCTACTGAGTCATATCAACCGTCCTGGAGGCGAGCCTAACACAAGCCTCAAGTGAGAGCCCGGAGGGCAGCCCCGCAGGGTCTCTGTCCCTCCCTGCGGTCGGCGCAATGCGACAGTGGCGAGGCCACTCGCATGCCAACGCCGCCCACAGCAGGGAATGGGGACTTGTGTTGAGTTCGTCCTGGAGGCTGGAAGTTGGCATGTGCAACCGAGTTGAGCCTTGAAACCCCCCTCAATTTTTGTCAGCCTTTCTGGGGACGAACAAGCCCTCGTCACCTGGTGAGCAAGAGCTTGTATGCAGTCGCCGGAACATTTGTGATTTGCCAAAATGTCTGAGTTCTCGGAGTCGGACTGGGACACGCATGAATTCCGGTGTGGTGCAGGAAGAGGATTACGTAATGATCTCCTTTCCCGAAGTTCGAAATTCGGAAATTCGGATGGTAAAGGGCGGAGTAAAGGACCAGGTTTAATCCCGGCGGCCTGTTGACCATTCGGCAGATATTTAAAGAGCGGTCAACAAGCCAACACCACACCATGTCTTCTTCCCAACAACCATCCACCTCAGAACAACAACAGCAACAACTCAAACATCAACAGAACCTCATCCAACATTGGGACTTACTCTCCCCCTTGAGCGATTTGGAGAAACAGTCGATTCACTCGATCCAGAAGGCCTCAAACGACAAACCATTGCCATCCTCAATCTCACTCAGAAACCAGTCACTCAACAACCTCAACCACACCCAACTAAGTCCGCCCTCCTCCACCAGGTCCAACTCACCCTCATCCTCACTACGTCGGCTGATTAACCACTCCAAGCCACTCGAACACCATCAACCGATCTCATCAATCGATCGGTTCAATGACTGGTTCTCAACCATCTCCTCACAGATCGAAGCAGACTCAGAATCAGCTTACCTCAACCATCTCTCGGTACTATCAACCTATTCTGAGGCATGCGATCTACTCGATCAAGCCATCGATGACTGTCGGGCTTGCTTGAACGAGATCGAGGCCAACTGGAAATTTGTCAATGAAAACTCAAAGAGCCTCGAACGATCCTGTCAGGGAATGCTAGACGATCAAAAAGTACTCGGATCGATCGCCACAGCCCTTAACGATCGACTGGCTTACTTTCGGAGGCTCGATGAGTCCCAGCGCGTTCTGAGTAGACCGGGTGAAGCTGAAATCGTCAATAGTCAAGAATTCTTGCCGATGATCGAACGGCTGGACGTCTGCTTAGAGTTCATGAAAGTTAACGTGCGTAAGCCAACTTTGCGTGTGACTGGATGTTGCAAGTTTAGTGTTTTCAGAAGTTGAAATAAGCTTTTTGTGTCATTTACTCGAATTTCTTTAGCGGCATTTCAGGGATGCAGATTTGTATCTGGTTCGGTTTCAACAATGTTTGACGCGATCGATGACATTGATTAAGTTGTACTACACAAACCAAATGAAAAATTTGAGTCGACAGGTGCAAGAAAAGCTCCAGATCAACCAGCAATCTTCGTCGAATCTCAAAATACAAGACACCTTACTCTACGCCAAATTTCAAACCCTATCAGAAGAATTGCGCCCGTTGATCTCACAGGTCGAAAAACGATATTTGTTTGATCAAGACGAATACGGGGCCTTACTGAGCGAGTTCTTCTCCACTTGGGTCTCAGTGAGAAGTCAATTACTTCACGCTCGAATCAAAATCGAAATCAGTCGCATTCAGATCACCCATCAACAAGTCCCGGATCTCATCTCATTGGCTACGACTGGGTGCAACTATATGAGATCGGTCTGTACTGCCGAATGGAATCTTTTTAAGTCTTTTTTCCCGAAAACTGGAGAAGAAGAGCTCTTGTGAGCATATTTTTCTTGACAAAGGAAACACGTTGAAATTGATACTGACTTAGCCTGTGTGATTCAGTGTATATCTAGAGTCTCTGTGTGACTATCTGTACGATTTATTGAGACCTCAGATCCTGCATGAGCAGAAGCTGTATCTGCTATGTGATTTGGCAACAATCTCGAATGCGTTGATTGCGATGGACAGTAATTTGATAGAAGCAAATCAATCTCAATTCAAGTTTTCTACTCTCCTCAAACCAGTACTTCAAGATATCCAAACTAGATTGGTTTTTCGCGCCCAATCGATTATCCAATCTGAGGTGGCCAATTACCTGCCGAAGAGTGAAGATCTTGACTATCCTAACAAGCTCATCCAGGCCGATCAGAAACGCCAGCAAAGCGGCCAAAAATCGAAGCGCTTCAACAACCCGCACCCCACCCTTCTCGATCGTCCTCATGCACCGCTGAAATCTAGGCTTCCGGCTGAAGGAGTCCAGGAAAATTGGTATCCTACTTTAAGGAAAACATTGTGGGTCTTATCAAGGCTGCACACCTATGTGAATGTATGTATGTTCCTCCGTCAAATTCACAATACCCATCAGATTTCTAAGTACGACTGACAAAGAAAATACCCCCTGTGTGGACAGGATGCAATTTTTGAAGATTTCGCGGGTGAGGCCGTAGGGATTTGCTCCGAATCGATCATCAAAGCCTCCAACATGATGAACTCGGTAGTAACCCAGCAAGCCGGCTCGACAACTCCGGCAATGAGCTCGAAGATTCAAGCAAATTCGATCGATCGCGAGTTGTTTGTAATCCGACATCTGTTAATCCTTAAGGAGATGATCCGAACCTTGGATGTTGTCCAGGTCGAACGCGCCGTTGATCTCGGTCCGATCACCGACGTCTTGAAGGAGATCCTCAATCCGAGCTTTAAAGATTCACTCATCTTCAAACCAATCACGTTGATGAACAAGTTGAAAAATCTCAACCACAGTCAGATCGAGTTTTCAAAACGGATGGGATACTCTTCTCAAAAAGACCAGGATTCCTCAAACCCTGCTGAGCCCAACCTCAGCCTCAATTTCGATATGCTTGATGCTCAGATCACTAAAACCATTGACAGCAAATCAGAAGTGGATCTGAAATTGAAGACTATCTGTCACCAATTTATTATCAAATCATCGGCCTTGATCTGTTCGAATTCGCTCGAGCCATTCTTGACGAAGTGCCAAAACCATCTAAACTTAGAAGCATCGATGGTCCCGCCTTCGTCGGCCGCGGATCCTCTTGGAGGTGGAGGCGGAGGTGGAAACAGTAACTTGAATCGCAACTTGGGGGACCAGGAATGGGCTTCCCAGGATAACGTGCTCGCCGTCTTTCAGGCTTTCTTGAAGGACTTACAGCTCGGTTTGAACATCATCTTCAATCGGGTCGCGCTCTACTTTCATGATGATGATCATCACGATTTCAATTTGATTAATGTCCTCTTTCCTTCCCTTCAAGTTAGTCCAAATCCTCTCATCATTTTAATTATCTGACATCAAAATAAAATAAAAATCTGATCACTTTTTTTTGTGTGTTATCAGGAAGAAATCATGGAAAAATATCGTCGGTTTTATAGTTTAATTAAATTCGAATTTGATTTTAACTTTATCAATGATGATCAAATTTCCAAGGACAAAGACCAAGATCCAGAACAAGAAATTGATTATGAGTCACTCAATCAAGCTCAATCTCGAGTTCTGGCCCCCTCTCAACTTCATTCTTTGATCCAGAAAATCGTCTATCGGCAATCTTCTTCTCTTTGAACTTCCTTCCCTTCCCCTCCTGTTTTCATGTATTCATCTATTTTTTCTCTCTCTTTGATTAGATTTGAGATTGTTTGATGTTGGTTGTTGTAGAATAATAGGCACTTTTTATAGATTAATGCAATTCACAGATTGTCCATCAATATCTATATTATGTAGACCCTAATGGAACAGATTACAGCCCCCCCCCCCCCCCAAAAAAAAAAAAAAAAAAAAATCTTGCAAATCTTGTTGGGCAATGTGATTCATAAGGCTGTGAATCTAGTTCTGGAGGGTCTACTGAAGTAATTCCCTTTCTTGTTTTTTGTTTCTTTTGTTTCTTTCTTTTTTCAAAATCCACTTTTTTACCTTGATGAGCAACTAAAAGCCTAATTAAAACCACCGCAACAAAGTTCCACTGACCAGGATGGATTTTATTTGCACGTAAAGCCCATATATGGATAATACTTACTGATCTGGTTTTTGCTGTTAACATAATTCAAAAAGCTGTTTTTTCCCTTTGTTTTTTTAGTGTGTGTATGTGTAATTAACCTGGCTCATGATGGGGATGGAAAAGATAATCAGGATAGATGGTTTTCTTGGCAAAGTTGCCCTGGTGTACTTCAAGTCAACTCTGGTGGATTTCTCTTCTTGCATGTTGCAGAGCGGAGAAGGTCAACAATTATCCACGGACATGCCTTTCTTTCCATAATGTAGTTTTAGTGCAGCGTAACACAGCAGAATTATGCTAAAATTTAGTGTACATATGTAGCATAGCAGAATTCTGCTGCGTCTGCACTAACACTATACATGTAGGCCCCCAAAAAGTGCCCACTATGCTATTCTAACACGCTGGTTGGTGGAATTTTGGCCCTGTAGCAGCTGTCAGTACTTGGCCTGTAGCACAGTGTAGCTTAGCAAAAAACTGCTAACTTTTTGCTAACACTACTTGATTTCTGCATGCAGGAAAAACTGCTACGCTAAGTTGCTAATGCTTTTTGGCCAAATTGTGTAGCAGCCCATTGTTGCCCAAGGAAGGACTCCAAATTTTTGGGTGAAGCCATGCACTTCAAATAATTTGGAGTAAGCAGGATTTGCACCCCTAGAGAAACCTGGGAAGTAAAAACACTGGAGTCCATGGGTATGCACTCCAAGATTTACAGGAGTTCAAAGCTATGCACTCCAGATTCTTTGGGGTGCACAATCAAGTACTCCAAAATCATCAAGTTTTGCTTTTTTTTGGTGTGCACTCCAAGACACTCTAAAGTGGGTGGTAGTGCACTGTTAATGAACAATCTTGAGAAATTTATTTCTGAAGTAAATGAAATGCAAAACAAAGAAATACAAATGACTAAAAAAATGAAAGCAATCCCAACCTTAAGACAAACAACAGGGATGTTAGAACAAGATAAGATAAGAACAGGAGAGTATCAAAGCAAAACAGGAATGGGAAGAATAATAATATTGTTAATATCCTGATTGACAATTTAAGAGAAAAGAAAAGATCAACTATGATAACCTAAAATGAGATACAACCAAAGGATTTTTGGTGATTTACAAGTGGTTGAATGGAAGGGAAGCACTTGGTTATGTGGCTGGCAAAGAGTTAATAAGAGAAGGGATGTGCTGGATAAGATTATTGTGACAATAGAAAGAATATGGTTTTTGATGAAGAAAGTGATGAAAATTAGATGTTTCTGATGGAGGACCAAGGAAGATGAAGATATGAATATGTCATTTTAAGATATAGTTGTAAGTAGCAACCAATAAAGTCACCCAAGGAGAGTGGAAAGAATTTGTAAAGAGAGACAGTGATTTACCTGTTGAGGGGCACAGGGACCAAAAAACTGTGATGAAGTCAAGGCTCACGCTGAGGATCTTTGACAGTGAGAAATATAGTTCATATTTGATAAAGGAAAGATATTAAATGAAGCCGGTGTGAGAGTAGTACTGGGCTGCTTGGAAGCATATCCAGGTACACAAGCATACAAATACCATGACAGGATTTGTCATCTTAAAATTATATGTGCAAGTGATGAAGTCAAGTCCATTGATGTCAATGATTTTTCTGTGAGAAAGAAAGATGTTTGAGTGATATGTGGTCATAGTGTAGAGTGATGTCATTTAACCTTGTGTCATGTTTTTTCAAGATTGTAGACTCTAGAGGGATGACAAATTGAGCATGTTGGTGCTCAGATTTCAACAATGCACTCCAAAAATTGTTGGAGTGCACACCTTTCTTGATTTGTGCAGGGGAAATTTTTGGTGTGCAAAAAGGCAGACCCAAGTTCATTTCACCAAGCCTCAAATACATCCTCCACCAGGGGTGCTAGAGGGAGTTAAAATTGGTTTTTGTGCTCTGACTCCAGGTCAGTTCAGCATTAATGCCAGTCTACAGATGTGCAAGTGCCAACAGTGCAACAGATACAAGACATGTATTTGTATCAGATCATATTGTCTTTATTTTGAGCCTGATACCGGTATCAGTATTTTCTTGGTTGGTGAAAAAATTTATTGTCTCGGATTTGGATTTACAAATGGAAAAAAAAATTGTCTTCGTTTTTTTTTCTTTTTTCTTAAATACGGCCAAATATCTTGTGTATCAAATACGGTTTTGGTGGGATCAGTCATCTGAGACAATACAGAATACTTGTCTCACTTTTCAAAGACAATACATGTGTATTGTCTCAGGAAAGTGAGACAACACAAATCCGGTATTTTTGGGTATTCAAATTCTGAGACGATACAAATAAACACCTGATACTGTCTCGTATCGTCTCTGTTGCACCGTTGCAAGTGCTTTAGAAATCCATATACTTCCCCAATCCATTGTTTCAAAAGGCCATCCTTGTGCAATCTTTTCCCCCCTTCCTTTTTCAATCCCTGCTGGTAGACCCAGATCTCACTTTCACATCCAACTTATCTCCTTGCAGTGGAAATTAACATCTTGCCATGGTATAGTATACTTGCACCACAGCTGACAATTTTGGAAATTTCAGAAAATCCCACAAATGTTTCCCAGAAGAGATGGGTCTTAGAATGTTGATCACGTTTAATAGATACTTTCACATTAAACCTCCAGTCAACAAGTCTCACCCAATAAATTACAAATCCAGTTGTACAGTGGCTGGACAGAAATTCCTACCACACTGTTTTTGTAAGCCTTAGAGATACTCCATAGTATTCAAAAGACTGCTAAAATAATAAATATTAAATATTAAATACTCAATAAGTAATATAATATGTAACAATACTATTTAATAAAACAATATTTCAAAAGATTATAAATGGGGTTGTCCACTGGAAGTATCCCCAAATTCCTACTCCTTCAAGGACTTTGTATATATTCAAAACCTTGAAGGACAAAAGGAATCAAATATACAAAATTATAGAATAAAATTAATGTATATTGAATTAGGGTTCAATATACATTTAAAGTAAACTTGGAAATCTTATTCTTCAAGCATAATCAAATTATCAAACTTGCAGAAAAGAAATTACCACACTATGTCAAGAGTGTGGCAATTTCTACTAGTAGTATTCTATTTGAGAAGACACATGATGTAATTGGCTATAAATATGCATCATGATTTCATGGGACATAGAATATACATTATTTGAAATACCTTTAATTATTCCCATTACATCAGGGGAATAATTCTACCATGGTATACTAAAAGAGAGATTCTAGAATATTTAAGGAGGCCATCTCCTGCATAGGATTGATTCCTCAGCATATTCACCCCCAGTACACTTAGTAAGTACAGTGAATATTCTCCACCTACTTTTAGAGTAGTCTTTTTATCCAATCCAACCCTACCTTCTTACTGGAATTATTATTAAGCTAAGTGTTATCCCAGACTCAAAACTTAACTCATTCCTTAAAAAGTAGTTGCTGCAAGACCACCACCTCTGACTGTAGCCTTTCAGCTCAGGTGCTTGCCAACTACTTCTTGCAATATTAATTATTGCTTCCAAACAATCTGCAATAACATATTCTGTTATTGTCTCCTACAGTGCTCTTTTGATTATTCAAAGTTTCATTAACTGAGGAATGTGGACTTTGAACCTCTCAAGTGGGAAGTTTGGAACACTTGATACTTTGAGGGTGACTAGGAGTAATCTTGGTCTTTAACCTAGTCCTTCAGCACAGGCATAGTACTTGGCTTATATATTAATTAAGCCAAAGTTTCATACACATAGCTGACAGTTTTTGACTCTAGAAACTCAACCCACCCACTTGAAGTCATTGGTATGGGCCATGAAATGGTTCATAACTGAACAGGCTTCCAAAAATGGATGTGAAAACAAATTAGTAACAAATAAGGTCTTGGTTAATGGACTCCCAAAAATTGGAGAGTGAACTCCCATACCCCAGGCACTTCCTGAGGACTGTCTCTCAGGACAGTCCTTAGGACATCCTCCCCCAAAATTTTGGGAGTCAATTGTCCAAACCCATCAGTGGGTTTGGGAGTTGGACCCCCAAAAGATTTAATTAAAAAAGGTAAACCACCTGGGGGGAGGGGGGGGGGGGGGGGGGGTTGGAGTCAATGGTCCAAAATCACTTGGTGTTTTGGGGATGGATGAACTGAAATGAGCCCCCACAGCAGTGGCTGGGAGGAATCAATCCTCCCATTGATTGAGAGTACGCTCTCAATGGCCAGGAGCAACAGTGTAATAATTACCATGTATTGTATTGAAATACAGAGGGTTTATCTTGGTTGTTGGGAGTATATAGTAACCCACAACAGCCAAGAGCTACACATCCAGCCGTCAAGAGTGCACTCTCAGTGGCAGGGAGAATTGATTTCTCCCAGCTGCTACTGTGGGGCCTCATTTTGGTTTGTCAACCCCCAAAACCCGGGTTGGTTTTTGGAGCATCAACTACCAACCCCTCTGGGGGTCATATTTATCTATTTATTTATTGAAATTCTTTGGGGGTCTGTCTCCCAAACCTGCTGACCAGTTTGGAGGATCAACTCCCATAAAAGTTGGGGGAGAGTAAATGTGACATTTAGGCTAAATAGACTATATTTCAGTAAAGAATACAATAAATAATTGTAAAGAAATAATGAAATAAGAGGTTCCTAAATAGAACAGGAACCATGCTAAGGATGATTAAATGAGAAGAGAAAGACAAATATAGCTGTCACAAGACAATAAGGAAGAAAGACTTGAAAAGGGAAAGAGGACAGTTAGATATGACTGGATGATAGTGAGAAGAGACAGCTAGACCAAAGAGAAATGAGGACCTTTAGAAGTCAACCTAGAATAGATGATGAATTCTTGGGGAGATGAAAACCACAAGAGTGAAGCCAAAAAGTGACTTGAGGTTTTATAAGAAGGTTGTCAGAGGTAATGAGGAACTAAAAGGCAATATCAAACAAAAAAGATAGAACAATTGTCAACTGAGAACAGATTGAGGAAAACAAAGACCAAAGCTCAAGTACAAGGAAAACAAAAACTAATCAAGCAATCGGCTGTGTAAGATCACACAGACATGACATTACAAATGTATGCGCCACCAGATGCCCAGAATTTAACAGTAAATAGGCGCGAGGACGTCCTCAGGACATCCCTGGGGTTTGGGAGTTGCCCCTAATTTGTTTATTTTACTTTTTTTACAAATTTCAAAACTCAGTCCTGTGTTATTAATATTTTTTTTTTCAGATTCTTTAATAGAAGCCTATACAATATGACCTGATTTCCCCAACCCCAATGAATTGAAGTGGAAGGGCTTCGATGTGCTACAGTCCAACACCAGTATTATGGTGGAAGCATAAGTTCTGTCCAGCCACTATCCATACTCAAATTTAGCCCCCCCCCCCTGCATGAGTAAACTGATACACACCTTGTTTTTCAAACACCACTTATTACATATCTGAACCATCTTCTCTGTGTGCATTCAAGTATTTAGATGGATTATATAGATATATATATTTCAAAAAAAAAAACTTTTCAACTGACAGAGTATACAATACTTCTAACTAACAAAAAAGAAAAAACGAGATAGAGAGTATATATATATAACACATGTGATATAATTAGAAGTAAAGAGAGATATAGAGAGAGAGAAAGAAAGAAAGAAAAAAAAGGAATAGAAGATGAGCTGATTGACATTGGAATAATCAGGTAAGAAATACAAGTCAGAAGCTTCTTTGATTCTCAGCTATGGAATATATGTGTAGCTCAAGATTGAGGGGAACAAAAGATAGAGGAAAGAATTGAAGAGAAAGAAAGAAAAGAAAAAAACAAGCAATCAATCATAAAAAAGAGAAAAGAAAAGGCGCTCAAAGAACAACAACAATAGTGATAAGGAGGAAGGAAAGAGACGTCTGAAGAGTGTTGAATAAGATGGTAATCAATGGAGAGAAAGAGAGAGAGAGAGGAAGTGAATAGATAGATAGTGAATTAGTTAATAACAAAAATAGAAGAAGAGCCCCTTTTTGTCAGATCTATCGAACTTGTTTAGAGTGAGTTTGAATAGGATAATTATTAATCTGAATGGGCGCTCTTGAAGCTGAAGAGTTAGATCCAGGAAGAGGAGCGGGGTTATTAGCGGGGGGATGAGGAAGCCTAGCGCGAGGCCCATGGGGCTGTTGATGGGGGACGAAGTTTTGAGAAGGAGGAGAAGAATGAGGATGATGATGATGAGGGTTTGGGTAGCTGTTATTAGAGCGCGGGGGTTGGTGAGGATGCGGTTGTTGTTGAGGACGATGTTGAGAAGGAGGAGGGAGTTGTTGTTGTTGACGGGTGGAGCGAGTGTAAGCGAGGTCACTAGCATCATGGTACACGTCCTGCTGAGGAGCACGCGGGCCCATTCCGGAGGGAAGAGCACCCGGAGGAAGGCCTCCGGGGCTAGGGCCGTGTCCGTTATGGGGCGGTCCACGGGAGGAAGGGTAATGTTGCTGTTGTTGTTGCGGGGGATGATGAATGGCTCGTTGGTTGTTGGCTGAGCCTGGCTGACCCATTTGTTGAGGGGACGGACGATGGTGAGAGGAAGGTGGGGAAGGACCGACGGGCTTGGAAGGGGGTGGATGGTTGCTATAGACCGCAGGCCGGATCGGCGCTGTAACCGGTGGACGATGGGCGTTCCCGGTCGGATGCAGCTGACGGTCGGCCGCTTGGCCCGCTCCGGATGGATGCCCTCCACTTGGTTGCTTCGACATCGAATGCGGCTTCTGCATTGGTCCCCCCGCTGGCGAGGGCCCACTGGGCGGTGCTCGTGTCGTCGACGGTCGGGCTGATAGTTGGACTCCCGCAGCTTCAGCTGCCCTCGAGATCTCTTCATCCAATACATTCAAGGCTGCACAGACAAGAATCCCTATATGATTGCCCCACAATTTCAAAATCAATCAAGTATTGCTACAAAGCTTGCTAGTTGGGGCGGGATCATGTTCATCGTCAAAAAGCTCTACTGACATTCTACCATATCTTCGTTTCCTTCACCCAATGTTCTCCAGACTGCCTTCTCTTCTTCGGTCTTACCAGTGACAGTGATCTTAGTTTCACCGGATGCTTTGGGACCATTAGGTTGAGCCTTGAGGATTTTCCCGAATTCGATTCGTTTGGGGGGGATCAAATGACCAGCATAACTGTCAAAAAAAAGAAAAAGTTTGGGTGAGCCAGAGAGTCGTTCAAAGCAAAGATTTCAAAATGGAGAGAATCACATACGTGAAGTAGAAGAGTGTCCACCAAGGACAGTTTGGGTTTGGTTTGCTAACTTGGAATAGTGGTTGTTCGACCTGAGGGTTCTCTGGGTTGGGTAGGGTGAGTTTGTAGACCGGGTTTTGGATGCCTTCGTTTCTGATCGTCCATTTCAAGTTTCGAGAAGCTTCGCACTTGATTGCTGAGCGGTCGGCGCTAGATTGAGGGGGATGATGGCCGTTTGAAGAGGATGGGGCTGGCGGGGCCGTGGTTGAATTCTTTTGAGCTCTCTTCTTGTTGGGTGGGAATAGTTTGGCTACGCATAGGTCACCCTGATCTGATGGGGTGAGTAGGTAGTTCTCTTGGTTATAGTTGGTGTGTAGGTAGGTATATAAGACCTGGTGTGGTTTCCCTTGTGGAGTGACGATCAGTGTTGGTAAATGGTCTGGGATCGGCTGATGGTTGGGTGAGGTGTAGATGGCATAGTTGGCCGACATGGTAGTCTGGTGTCGGCGAGTGGATTGTAAATATGAATATGTGGTGCTGACTGGATGATGGATGAGGAGGATGATGGGGATGGGGTTTTTGTGAGATGGTGGTTCTGGTTTGGCTGGATGGTCAACAGGATCCAAGAATAAGTAGCTGGCTGGGTTGATCCCGGATATCTCCAAATCCGGTGCTGGCTTACTCCAGCCAAACCTTCTTCTTTCCACTGTCGACAGCCACCAGCTCACGATCAACGGGCGACCATGAGAACTATCCATGCCCAGATCAGCATCCACCCCAATCTAACCATGGCTGTCGATGGACAAAAGGGCTTCTCCACATAGACTCTGGTCTTCCTCTCGCTCAATACATCAGCCGTCTGCTCATCTTCATGAGACACATTTTCCACTTCCATACCCTTGGATCCAAAGCTAAATAATAGAGCCCTCTTTGGTGTACATACGCACAGATAACCCCTGCTGTGTCGATTCACATCCTTCAGAGAAACCCAGAGCAGAGGGTTCGGAAATATTTTCATAGTTGTCCAATTTGTTGATGTTGACGGACATTAATGATCAGCTGGCTTTTCCCGGCGCTTTACCTTAGCAGGAAGAGCTCTCAAGTCTGATAGAAGAATTTCGCAATCTTGGATGGCACACCCGGCTGACCTAAAATGTAAATCAAACTGAGCTTGAATTTACTCGTTTATGTGGAAAGATAGTCTTTGAAAACAGACGAGTCCTTCTAGTCCAATGATATGCCTTTGAGCAGCATCAAAATGCAAAGAATTCAGGTTAACCACTTCTAACTCCTTTTCAGCTGTCCAAGAGTCCACTTCCACAGTGAATTATTACAGTCTGATAAATTTCACTTAGTACAGTGCGTTGACAGAAAAAATGGAACCCTGGGGTCAATCTCACAATTTGTCAAGGGTTTTTCTCCGGAATGTGGGACAATGAGAGGTTGAGAAAATGATGATGGGGATAGATATAATTAGGGGGGTTCACGATTGAACTTTAGAGTGATTTTTGAGGTGTTTATGAGCAACATTTTATATTTTATATTTTTTGAGTTTTTCCAATTTATTGGTTTCTGAACTTTCTGTACATCACAAAAAAATTATAAATTTATGATCAGAAACATCTTAAAAATGGCCTTGAAGTTCAATCGTGAACCCCCCTATTAGTCTCATTGAATTTGCAGCAAAAAAAAAAAAAAGATACAAACAAATTCATTACAAGAAAAAGTCTGGAAATTGCTGCCAGTTAACATGCAGCATACAGTTGCAAACGTCATTAACCAACCACATTTTTTTTGGGTGCGGACGGTTGGGGACCAAATTTTTGCAATTTCTTTTTTGTGAAAATATACCAAATCAGGAAATTTTCTGACCTGGGAACAACCGGCCAAGCTCTCTGGAGGTCATATCTGCTTTGGTCTAGTGGTCCTGGGTGGCTTTAGGCCTTGCCAAAGGTTGTGTGTTCAACTCCGGGCCGAGGTTGGCCTTACTGAAAGCCTTTTTGTCCTTTGGGTATGGGTTACAAGCATGTACTTATGTCATGTATGGCCTTTCTTGAGCCATATAGTCACCTGTAAATCCATACATATGTACTTACTAAAGTATTTATAGACCGGGTCCGATGGGGCGGAGAAAAAAAAAGAGAAAAAAGAACCGTTGGTCGGATGCCTTAACACAGTTAATTCTGAACTCCCCTTGGTCTGAAACGCTCAAAATTGTGGTTAGATGGGGGGTTGAGCCTATGTGACCCCTACCATGAGGGCCCGCATGCAAATTGTAAATTTTTCAGGCGGGTCAGTACAGGTTTATGATGTTTGCAACTGTACTCCAATCAACCTTCAATGGAAACTTAAGAGCATCTCCACCGTGGGCCCTATGTGCCTCCAATAGGGACCCAAAAAAAGTTTTTTTTTCCACCGCTAGCGGGTGTATTGGCCTTAACGGCCAGTGGAAGCCAATCGGTTGGTGTTGTTGTGTACTTGAGGATGTGTGAAACCTTCTGATGTTGAAAGGTTCACACGGCATAGGGCCAATGAGCCAGGCCCTATCAAGTCTGTATACATACAGCTTGATGGAGACTTTTGGCCATTGTCCCTATTCGTGGGATAGGGACCCAATATAGGGCAAACAGTGGAGATGCTCTAAATGTCATTGTGTTGACATACTTGAGTGGTATTACATACCCTGTGGCTTCAAAGGGGTGAAGTTTGAACCAGAACAATATAGAATAAAAGTCTGAGTTTGACTCAAGTTCAGTGTAGAATATGGCATGAGCTCTTGCATGTCAACTGCCACCAGGTGCTTCTTGCAGTGAAATCAACATCTGCATTTTTCTCAACTCCCTCAATATTCATTGGAAAAAAAGAGAAAGAGGGGGGGGGATGGTGGAGAGGCTGGGAGGAATGATGAATAAAGAAAAGCTGGAAAAAATTGAAAATAAACAGGGGTTTTTTTGCTTGTTGCTGAACGGTTTGAATTGGAACTGAGCTGTGATCAGCAATGACTTGTGATCCTGTGAGAGGTTTTCCTGAATTTTATGACGTGGCAGGGCAAGGTTTATGGGAAAAGTAAATGAGGACCATTGATGCTCAGTGGTCTTGAGGGTAAAACTAAACCCAACTGTCATAGGGGGTGACACCAACTAAATCTATACCCACACTCAGGGTCCAGTTTTTTCTATCAACCCACTCTGCAGTGGTCAGTGAACTAGCTTTATTTACTTAACTATGCCAATATGACATAGCTTAAATTATTCTATACCGGTTATGTTCATTCTACATACATTAAGCAAATCATTCCATTGGTTCATTCTTAAGGTGACAGGAAGTCTGCATGAAGGCCGCATTTTGATTTCATCACAAGGTGAAAACTTTAGCCAAGTCTGAGGATGATAATCGGGCGAGCTCGGGTTGCCTCATGATTGGATCTTTTAGATTTCTGATTTTAAAAATTACACAACTAGGGCCACGATTTGTTTGGATATTGGATATTTATGAGTGTGATCATGATAAGATTTAATCACAAACATGTCCTGTCATTTAGGGCCTGTACCACATCCACAGCCCCACTTTTGAGGTCAATTTCTGATTTTCAAGTTGGAAATTGACCCCACTAGAAATGGTGTGCCATACACACCCAATTTCCCACAGGACAGAAGCTGGATTCTCAGTGCCAGCCACAAAATGAATTTTTGCTGGGAAAAAAATGAAAAGATCAAAAATGAAAATGAAAATGAAAATCTTCTACACAAAAATTGAAAACGATTGAAGAGATCTGCTGTTGCAATTCTTCAATTTTAGGCCAAAAAATCTATTTGAAATGGTAAATGTTGATGATATGAGACTTTGAGGAAGATAAATTCTGGCAATTTGGATTTTCAAGCCCTATGGTACAGCCTAACTGAAACCATCCAACATGAGAAGTTTGAGCCAGATTGACATGTAGGGTAAAATGGAGATTCCCAAGAAAATAAACTTTCATCTTTGATATCATCAGAAGGATTTTTTTTAAATATATATGAAAGTTTGACCTAACATACAGTGTGCAACACGAGTTCTCAACCACACCTCTCCTGCAAAAAAGGTCCAACTTTGAGCTGAATGTTTACTTGTAGTATTCATGCTACAATCATGTAATATATATCAAAAGATGCTACGACCTGTTGAACAAGAAAATATGTAGTGGATAGCAAAAATTTGCCTCTAACTAGTTGTTATACTTTTTTGAGGCTTCCTGCAGACATGTACTACATATTTTCTTGTTCCTCATTTGATGTAGCATCTTTTGATGCAGATTACATGTTTGTAGCATGAATATTACAAGTGAACATTCAGCTCAAAGTCAGAGATTTTTTGCAGGAGAGGTGTGGTTGAGAACTTGTGTTGCACACTGTATATGGTAAAATCCATCAGACCAGCCCAGGATCAAACACCCATTCAATTGTATTTGTGTAACAAAACTTCAATTTGGGTAGTCAAAGTTCACATACAATGGCCTTTGCTTAACCCCACAAGTGACACTTTTTCAGAGTCCAGTTTCTGGGAGGTTTGCTTTCTCAGCCTACTAAGTCTATGAGAAAGTGGTACATGGGCTATGTTATTTGAACTTTGCCTACCCTAAATCACCAAAAACTTTCTGCGGATGTAAGAATCGGGAATTCTTACATAAGAAGTTATGTATTTAGGAAAGACGGTCTTGAGAAATTTATTTTTCTTTTAGGACAAATTGTTTTCTCTTTAGGATCCCGATTATGACGAGGCTATCTTATCAAGCAAGACCGAGGATCGAGAATAAAGCACTCAAGTCCGAGGATTGATAGGATCACTGGAAAAGCGAAGTCATGTATCTAGGAAAATATTTAAGAGACCTACCTTGTACTCGATTGTAACTTTTCTCTTCATCGCAATATTTTGTTTTCTTTACTATCATTATCGCTGCATCAAAGCAAATCATAATAATAGGGATCTCCCTAATTTAAATCTATCTTATCACTTTGTGAGAACTACTCTTGTTGTTGTCGTTTACAGTTGCGTATGGCATAGACCGACCATGCCCCGCCCGCAAAATCCAATTTGGACACGCGGGGCCTATGCCCCGTGGGGCATGTGCCCCGACACTTAATTTTATTACAATTTTGAACTCCTACAGATGTGTAGAGTTCAAAATTGTAAACACTAAGCTTTTGAGTGAGCGGTTCAATTTTTTTTCATTTCCACATACAGATAATCGGACAATCACAGATTAAGCAATACTTAAACCCATAGTTATGGCTTTAAGTTATAAATAATCATGGCTTTATACTACTTGTACACCCTTGACATCTACTTTCACTGTTAATCTTCTATTCTAGTGTATTTTTTCTACAATCTGGAGGCTACAAACAGCTCAAAAGGCTGAAAATTTCAAAAAAAAATCTGAATTTTCGGCTCGACCATTCGGACATCCTCAAAATCCAGGGTCGGTTTTTGCCGTCCGCAACTGTAGCTCGTCTGTTGACATTCACTTAGTTCTCAGAATTTGAGACTCCCGATCCCATATCCTTAGTCATTACAGCGGAGGTGTCTTGTGCATAATCCTTTTGGGGTTTTGCTTGTTCTGTTCCAGGATAGTCAAAGTTTAAATAGCACATCCCACGAACAACTCTCCCATAAACTTATTTGCTGAGAAAGCAACCCCTCCCACAAACCGGGTTCTACAAAAGTGTCACTTATTGGGTCATTGGAAGGCCGTGCTATTTGAACTTTGATTGCTCTAGTCAAACTTGAGTACAATTCCATTTCTAAAAAGGGCCTGTGTATGATTTTATTGATGTACAGTTGGAGGCTGCAGGCTTTGATGATGGCCTCCATAGGCTTTACTGAGAATGTTGACTTTTGGCCAGGAGGCGGGCCTGGCCCTCGCCCAGGGGTCACGGGAGCCCCCAGGCCCATCCACATATGTACACACAGGGAATGACGTGCTTGGCCTGGTTTGCATTTCCTGAATCACCTTCAGTTCAACAATCACACATGGTACGCATCACTACATACTGCCTTGTCTACCCTCAACTGTGATTGTCATACTAATGCCAATTTGTTGATCGATTCAGACTAGGAGGCACTCGTTTTCGCCGAAGTCTCCATTCTTATAAGGACAGGTCGGAGATGGGAAATTTCAAGTACAACAACGATGGAATGTAAGCAGCGTCTCCATTTCTGACACCTGTTGGATCTCATATGATGGTACAGTAAGCGGACGATCATCACATCCGCGATTCGTTAGATTATTCATTTGTTTTTATGGTTTGTCGGAAAACTAACACACGAAGGGTTCATTATATCGTTTCGTAGTTGCTCATACGCGCCCATTTATCTATTTCAACATCCCGACTATTGTAACTTCAATTTATTCTTATTGGCGTTCATCATGGTTTCGGGCTATGGGTTGTTACTGCTAGGGAACCGATTAGGTGAGTCTCCATTGACACCTAACAGCTCTGTCGTTTCTTCTTACGATAATGGCAAGTATAAAAGAACTATCAGATGGGCTGCTCTCTTCGTTGAACGCGTAATATAGCCTTCTTTGAAGCATATTGATTCCTGTTCTGTTCTCCTTTTGACGGGTTCACTGGTTTGAATTTTGTACTACAGATGCAGAGAAAGAGAAAGAGAAAGAAAGCAAACGGGAATAACGACACTCAAGACTCTTGCATGGGAATTTACAGAGAGACAAACCGAAACAAGTAAACAAGACAATATTAGATCCCCGTAAATTATAGAACCATCAGAATCGCATAGGAATCGATTCCATCTACAAGCAACATGCAAGCCGCTACAAAAAAAAAAGTTCGAGTCCGCGCTCAACTTTCCAAACGATGCGTTAAGGTTATAGTGTAGCGTGATTTTGAAGGGTTCGGATTAGAAAGGCTCGGATGGGAAAATACACAATGGTGCGGTCGCAGGATGATTCCTTGACTAGCTAACGAAACAACAAACAAGTGGCTAAGCTGTGGATCAGAGGAAAAAAAAGAACAATAATGAATGCTGGGTATATACAGGAAAACAATGAAAATTAGGATTGAAAAGAGTACATAGAATTCAAGGGAAGGAAGCTCATATAGTCGACAATCAGTTTTCCCATCTTGTGTCAGATCATAGTATCTGAAGCTCAAGATGAGACATCAAATTGTACAACACTCTGCAGTTGTTCAGATTCATCTGATGTGATTTGAAGATTTTCTCAAGTGTCTTGAAGAACAGGAATTGCTTAAGCTTCAAGATAGTTCAATGTTTCTAAAAGAAACCTTAGTCCCGGACCTAGTCTGAGAGTCTGGCACGGTCAAAGGGGAATTTATTGTGAGGTTGCTATCATGATTGAACATTTTATACTGGATGTATGTAGACATGAGCTTCTCAATCAGTCTGTTAAAATTGATGGCTGGGAACAGCGTCTTTATTGGGAACATCACATCTTTGTAAATGGAGTTTATTCTTTGAGTGTGCACGACTCCATTTCATTCAACGTCTTACTAAGAACTTTCAGGCCAGGTTATATCCCCCGTGTTATGTTTGTGAATCGAAACATTACCCACATTTTTGCAAGGCAACGCAAATACTTCCAGGTTTGTATACTCAAGAGGACCAGTGAATCAAGGCGTGTATTGGCCAAGAATTCCAACTTGACCAAGCCATCTTTATCTGACATGATGTCAAAAAACTAAGAATTGTCCAAATAAGTTAATCAAGCATTTTTAAGAAAAAAGGTTAGAAGGAAGTAATTGAATTGACAACAAGACACTATGATAAGTCGAGTTAAATAAAAAAAAATGTATCTCATCCACTCCAAGCAACAGACCGGCCGGAAGAAAGAGAAGAGAAAGAAGAGAAGAGGAAGTCGAGGGGATGCAGATTAAAAGCCTCCGATTCCTCTAGGGCCTCCATAACCGCCGCCAATTCCTCCAATCCCACCAGGAATGCCAACACCTCCAGGGAGCTACAAAAGAAGAAGGGAAAAAAAAAATGATGACTCGCGGTCAGATTGAAGATCCCGATGATCAGGCAAGAAGGAGAGGGATAGAACTAACCCCGCCACCCAATCCACCTCCGAGACCACCTCCGAGGCCACCTCCGAGGCCACCCCCGAGAGCTGAAGAGCCACGGTTGTATCCGGATCCATAGTTACTCGCGCCGTTCGAGCCGAAGCCATTGGCACCATAGCCCGAGGCTCCGCCCGATCCAAAGACTTCGTTGGAGGCTCCTGAGGATTGAGTGGATGTACCGGACGACTGTTGGAATGAGTTCGAGCTCGATTGGCCAACGCTTTCGGCCTGGCCGCCGTTGTAACCACTGTTGAAGCCGTTGTTCCCAAAGCCGTTGGTGCCGTATTGCGAACTTCCGTATTGGTTTCCTCCGTTGAAGTTCGACAACCCTATCTGCGGCATCGGGGCAGCGTTACTTAGAGCCATCATGCTCATAGTAATCGTAATCAAGCTCGAAAATTGAAGGGAGAACATGTTGTCGGGTTCTTGGTTATTATGGAGTCGAAAAAATGACCTCGGAGATATTGATTTTTTTTTTTTTTTGAAAGAAAGAAAAAATCCAAGTGGACTTTTTGCGAACGAAAAAAAAAAAAATTAAAAATAAACGCAAAAGAAACTGATGACTGAAAAAAACAGATTCGAAGCTGAAGAAAAGGGAGGATGATCAAGAATGATCTAAGATGGTCAATCGGTTGATTATCGCAAGAAGGAGTCCGGCTCGAGGAGGTAGAATGGGGTACTTGTAAAAGGTGGCTGAGTGAGACTATTCGACAATGGTGGCCAGACACATCGTCTTTAAATACACTCAACTCCGAGAGGGAGACTCTGCCTTGGACTGCCCCCAAGTTCAAGCTCCAAGAAAACGAGATGGTATAAACAATCAACAAGGCTAGCCCAACGGTCACCAGTCGATTCTGGGGGGCAAGTTGGTTACCATCGCAGTGAATCAGTGGTCAAAGGTTTAACAACCAGTCGGGCCTGGTCCAAAGGATTCCAATCATCACGGCATCTCAAATCCAACTTTATTGTTGACGAAACTGCATGTTTGGACTCGACAGAGGCCCAAGGATTGTGAATCAGATCGGGGGTATTCCAGCGTCCAAGGCCTTGGCCAAGCTGATAACTGGTTACCTCACGAAACGCGGCGATTGGCCACAATGTGCGCCAAGTAACACTCGCTCATTCATTGGTCGCAGGGCCAACGCTTTAATCATTGTTTTTCGAACAGAGCGCGATGGACCAATGAGTCTCTAAAGGTAAGTCATGCTAGTTGGCTGGAAGCACCAGAAACATACCATGGGAGAGTGAATAGCTATAATGGTATCAAGGCGCCAAGCAAGAATCAAAATAGATATGCGACGTGTAACCTATGAAGCACAATTTGATCTAATGGAAGATCATGATAGGATGACCGTAACTGATCGATGGCATGCACTGTCGACATGAACTGAGCGACATCACATTGGTCTTATTTTTTGTTTTATTTTAGTTTCTCAAAAATAGGACCGAATTAGAGGCGACAAGAAAGACATACTTCTCGGTGTTCCAACTTCCAAGCCTCATCAATGGAGGTCCCATCTTTTCCTCGTTTTTTTGTGTAAAAAAGTAGAGTCTGTCTGTCTACAATCTACCTAGAGAGGTGTCTGTACATTACACCCATAGACCTTGATCACCTCTACTTTTTTTCACTCTAGAGCAATAGAGAAGAAAAAGGGAAGACCAATTATTCGGCAAATTCTAAAGGCAATGAATGTTGTTGAGATCAAAGCGGGTAGAGATAAAGGCAAAGAAAGAGAGAGAGAGAGCCAAAAAGTCAAGGCAATAACCGAACTACATTGATCATCAAGAGTATCATCAAAAGAAAAAGGGAGAGAAATAAATTAATGAAGACGATGAGAGATGATGAAAGCCAGAGGCAGGGAGACGGGGGGGGTGACATCAGAAGAAAGAAGACAAGGTCAAAAGAGTCCGGCCAAATCAGCGAAAGGATCATTAGCCGGAGGTTTTGAAGAAGGATGAGTCGAACTAGCAGCGGGTGCTGAAAGGTTATTTGCTTTGTTAAGAGGGATAGACTGTGGTTGAGTTGAGGAAGGATTGGAGGGATTTGAAGGGGTAAGGGTTCGATTGGGAGTTAGAACAGTAGTACTAGGAATAGATTGATTGAAGTTTGAGGACGAGCTGGATGGTCCACCGAGAGAGATTGCCCCCGTGACATGAGGAGAAATACCCTGGGTGATTGACGGAGAAGAAGAAGAAGAATAAGGTACCCCGGTAGCCCAACCCAGAGAATTTTGCGGCGAGAAAAAGTCGTTCCGAGGTTGCGTATTATTTGGGATTGTTGTCGAACTAGGTCCTCCATGAATAGGTGTAGAATCGAAGAACAGATTACTGGGTAATCCGCCGGCTCCAGTGACCGGTTGGCTTGATGTATTCTGATCAGAGATCGAGAAGGTATCTAGTAGACCATCTACCAAGCTCACAGTCCCGCTTGTCTGGTTGGTAGGTGAGGTACCTTCATCCGGATCGTCAAAGTCAATCAAGCTGACTTCCTTGGCCCGTGTCTTCGCCGTAGCGGTATCCTTCCCAGCAAACCTGACAGGATCATGTGACGGCTGTCACAATCAGTATACAATTGCTTGCGTTCAAAGGGCCATAACGGTCAAGTCACTTACGCGGGATTGATTTCAGCTGTGGCTGTGTAATCGCCAGCCTTGAATGCAATGTAACGCTCCAAAACATTATTGGTCAGATCGTTGATTAACAGTAATCGATCTATGGGGATAGAACAGTGGCATCAATGTTCCTTTTCTATTTCGAAAATTGACAGAAATTTTACTACATACCCATCATGTCTGGATTGTCCGCAGATTCATTAATCCACTTCTGAAGTTTGGGTTGAACCTGTTTACATTTTTGGGATAGTTGCTAATATAAATTGTCCCATAAATTGATGATCCCGATTATCAGTAAGGCGGATCGAGCTAGGCTTAGAAGGGTATCCAGACATTCAACTGACATCGAACGCGTCACCCTCAACAAACTTTTCGCCAGGCTGAGCGTTGTTCAATAGCTCGTTTAACAACAGCACTCTCGACTGCACTCGATCTAATTCCTTTTGCATCTGGGCCTGATAATCTGGTTGTTTGTCCGGTTCCTGAATAAATAAAGAAACGTTTCAATCCAGCCCTCTCTATCAACGCAATGATATGATACATACCGCTCCTGCCATGATTTTCATTAACTCTTGGGCTGCGGCCAGATCTTTAGGAGTCCCTCGCCGGATCAGCTCTTGCAGTTTCTAGGGTCCAGTGGGGTTGAGTTGAAAGTATTTAAAAAGGAGTTACATCAGCTTTAGGTGATCGGCCTATTTACGTTAGTCTTGAAGAGTAAGATGGCGTGAGTTTTTACCGCAGATTGGGCCGCTCGATCTTCTTCCTCCAGTTCTTCTGCGGACTTCAGTCTCTGCATATTTTCAGAGTCCAGACAAACAGTAAGTATTTTTGATGATTAGTTTGAAGGAAAACAGGAAAGTCTTACATCGGACTCGTTTAGCACTTGAGCTGCGCGTCGATCAACATCTGGGAACCGATAGCCTAAGGGATTATTGAGTGAATCGGCGGAATTAACATTGGAACTGGAGCCTCCTAAAGATCTTCACTAGGCTGCTATCGAGGGGCACGAAATCTATTGATGAACTGCTTGCCTTTGTAGCTAAGAAGACGATGCATGTCACGAATATGAACCAAATCTTCTTTATGTTTGCTCGTCACACAGATCGTCAACTTCCACTCGTGAATCAACTCTAAGATCTTCTGCATCGGCGGTGGAGGGAACACTGGAGGTTTTTCTGGAAACCGACGGACAAGTTCATTGAGAAATTCTTTCGTTGAGATTTGTAGGTGGAAGGGATAACCACAATTTTTGACTAAGATATCGAGGAGCTGGAGATGTAATTTGATGAAGCGTCACCAAACGGAATTAACCAATCAGAGCGCTCAATTGTATTTGATGAAAACCACAGAAAAAAACGAAAACGAACATGAAGGGCCAACATCGAAACGTGTGTATTCCTTCGATTGACATGCTGTAGAGTAGCCATCGCCGCTTCACGTGGAGTATTGGCTTTCTTCATATTGATCAAATCTCTGGACGATCGAAATTAATTCGACAATGGGAGATGCACAAAAATCGACAAAATTTATCAGTCAATCTGTTGCTGAGTTTTCATGCTAATTTCTTCAAATTTTGCAGCCTGGTTGGGCAGGTTTTCTAGCGGATGATAAATAAGGGAGTAAAACCAAATTCAAGATGACTGACGCAATCTCTAAATTAAGGGACATGTTGGGCTGACTGAGCATCGGACTACACGCACGTTCTGAGATTGGTGACCGGAAGGAGGATTTATATTGCAAGAGAAAGATTACGATCAGCATGAACAGTTGGAAAAGCAAACAAAGCCTCGGGAGACCTACCGATATAGCTTTCCAGAAGAGTGGGTTGGCCATCGGGACCGGATCGAGCCGCTGCAGACCCGTACATGATTCTTTATGCTGGTTTCCCCGAGGTGGCTAGGATGAGGACTCCAAGATGAGAGGTGATGCTGGCTGAGGGTGAGGCTTGGGTTAGCTGGTGTGTGTATTGGGGAAAAGCAAAAGAAGAAAGTCCAGAGTGGTAAACAGGAACAGGCTGACTGCCCATTGTTCCCCGGTCCTTTCGGGGCTCACCCGACGCGGAGACCGCTCTGACTCTGAGTACACCTATGATGTCACGGGGTATCCTATCAACAGCGGGAGCCCAGTCCGATCGACGTGTCACGACTGACTGCAAGTGGGTTGCAACACTCCTTGTTATGGTACTATGTATAATTGAGCACACTGCACTTACAACTCAAGAAACAGAAAATTTTACTACTGAATAGGACAGATGAGTAAAAGAGAAAACAAAATGAGAACCGAACAGAAAAGAAAGAGTGAACTTGACTGCTCAATGCTATAGTAAATCCTGGGCAACTGATTATTCTGAAAGAAAAGTAAGTGAACAATCAAAATACACCAAAGGAGATGACTCAAACAAGAGCAATACAAAAAATACATTGGTTGGAGTTATTGTAAAACCCCCTAAGTTCCACTGGAATTCACCATACACTGTCACAGATGAGACAGTTTCTAGGAGTTGTACTTAGTGAGGTTCCATTTCATTATCTACAAAGCAGAGACTATCTCTCTCCCATCCCAGAAAGTCCTTCCTTCAAATAGAAAGTTCTATCCTTTTCTGCTTGCCTTTCTTTCTTCCTTTTTCATTGATTATTCTATAAGCCTTTACTTACAAGAGACTATCTCTCTCCCGTCTAGATTTTTATTTTAAATACACACACTGGTTCTACAATCCCTTGTCTGCTCTGTATTAACATCAAGAAACAGTGAAGGAAGTGAAACAAACAGGAGAAATGCTTTTCAAGAAATTCACATTTGGCATTGATGCTTCCAAACATGATCAATATGAGTCAGTAAGACACCAAATCAAAGTTGAAGAAATGATTTCAAAACTCTTTCCCCTGGGTGGTCAACTCAACATTCTACATTGAACAATGATGGATCCAAATGGACTGCTTGTTTTTTTTTAATTTTCAAAGCGTAGTATTCTGAAAATTTATCAAGGAACATCTCAAATACAAGAAAATAAAGTGAGACAAGTTTTTAAGGCAGAAGACAAATTGAAAAAACAATGGGAATCCTCTTGAATAAAGATGAGAAAGATAAATTCCATCTGCTCATCAAATATTTATTGGCTGATGTTCTGGCCTACAACTCAATCAAAAAAGTGAATGAAAGAATATTGGATGTTGATCTGAACCAGATTGCCTGCTACCAGTTATCCAATTTCTGGTCACTATCTTATTCCTCCTATTCCATTCAAATTACATTCTTTAGCAAAAAAATAGCAGAAACCCCATAATTAGTATGTAGTGCATCCGCCCGGTCCTCCTCTTCTATATACCCATGACACTGATCCTGTTTGGAGATTGTATGCCCACAACACAATCCAATAAAACATTTGATAGATTCAATTTACTCAAAAATACCCACAATGGATCCATTAGTTAGAAAGATAAATCCTGAAAAGGGTGTTTGTTCCACTCATGAAGTGTACAATTCACTTCATCCTCATTTACTGTGTCTTTGGAGGCAGGAGGGGGGGAGGTGCTTTCCTGCTGGGGCCCTGATGCATTATTCACCATGGGTGTATGGACACCGGAGGAGCTGGTCACAATCAGATCATCCATTAACTATGGACCTGTTGCTCTTGTCAAAAAGTTCAAGTGAGTCATTTATTTATCTCTTTCTTTGGCTTTGTGTATAATGTTTTTTAGATTTGTAAACTTTGCCATCACCGACGCCAAAAGAATAAAAAATGTGCTTTATGTACTCAAAAGAGAGTGACGGCAGGATGGTACACGTTTTTGAGGTATTGGAGAAGGCCCACAACAAAACATTTTCTAGATTGTATCAAATGATTCAAAATGTTGAGATGCTTATAGTGAATGTATGCTTCAATCTAGTTGTACATAGTTCACTCAGATTCTCATCGTGACTTCTTCCACTCACTGAATTCAAACCAATTAATCTTAGTGATTGCTCCAGTATCACAAGGTCCGTGAAACTTCAGTCCCGTCACCTGTGTCCCCCGCAACAGGTTATGATCCCCTTGTTGCTCTAGCTCCTGATCTCTAACTCTCATCCAAATACCGAAATTGAATTTTTTTGTTGCTTCCGGCTCAGCAATTCAAATTCTCAAGATCAGAAAATCAACATGCCTATCAGGACACTTAACAATCCATCCCACCTGATACCCTCCGTTCCGGTTCTAGACGGAAACTCAGTAACGTTTGCGGCCTGGCGCTCCCGACTCCTCAATGTTCTTTCAGTTATGAACGTTCTGGACATAGTCGACAAATCTCTCCTCCGCCCATCGGACAACAAAGATAGCAAGACAATCGGTCGCTCCCCAGATCAAAAGGGCTACAACCCAGAAGATTTCGCCGCCGACTGGGACGCTTTGTCGGATATGGCTCGGTCAACAATTAAGCTCACTCTTTCGGTCGATCTTGCAATTCGATATGGTGACGTTAAACCGGTATCCAAACTTTTCTCAACTATTGTCAATGCGTACGAAAAGAACACCAGGGCTTGACGAGTCCAACTCGAAGACAACTTCTGGCTAGCTCGCCACAATCCAAATGCGCCTATAGCAAAATGGATCGCACGGATCTGAAAAGCAGCGTCCGATCTGAACACTGCAAAAATAGCGCCGTCCGATCAGCAGGTGTGTGATCGACTACTTTGAGGACTCAACAATTCATGGAAGACCATACGCGATCACCTTGTCTACTCCCCAAAGGAAGTAAGTCTAGACGATGCAATCGGTGCTCTTGAGGCGCACGAGCTGTCGACCACTCCACCACCCGATCAGTTTGGTTTTGATGGTGATGCCTCGGTCTCTGCTGCAAAAGCAAAACGGTTTGGATGCTATAACTGTGGCGAAAAAGGTCACCACTCGTCTCGATGCTCAAAACCTCCGAAAAAGAACAAGGCAACGGCTCAGGCGAACTCCGTTGCTGCACGTGCTGGTGCTACTTCTGCAGTACCTCTCGGTTTCTACGGTTTTGAGGAAGATGGCGATGATGACGATAGTTTTGATGATGAGATTGACGTGGTGTGGGGATAGTGGGTCCGATTTCCGGACAAATTTCCTTTCTTAACGAGCACAACTTCGGTGCGAGTCGATGGTCAATTCCTGCTGTCCAATTGTTTATGAGTACAGATGTTGTTATGACGTCTCCCTTCTCCCTTTGCACAAAGGATCTCTGGCCTGATTAATTTTTCAATTTTCTGTCCCCTGTCTGAGATTTTTTTTCTATCTACTAATGACTCTAGGTAGATTTTTTTTTATCTCTCTTACAACAGTAGTTTTCAGCAAGGGGGGGTGTTGAGATGCTTATAGTGAATGTATGCTTCAATCTAGTTGTACATAGTTCACTCAGATTCTCATCGTGACTTCTTCCACTCACTGAATTCAAACCAATTAATCTTAGTGATTGCTCCAGTATCACAAGGTCCGTGAACCTTCAGTCCCCTCACCTGTGTCCCCCGCAACACAAAATGCCTGCTTGGGTAGTTGCTAGCAAAAGTGATGACGAAAGCGAGGACAAAATTGATGGCGAACTCGGAGTCGTAGGTGATGGCAATTAGGAAGGCAATATTAAAAGCAATATGCAGACAGTTTCTGTGCACGCAGATAAATGATTAGAGCTGCCCAAAATGTCATCAAGTAACTCGGAATCACTTACCAGTGCTTCTCATCTCAAGACATAGGAAATTCAGTTTTGCCATCACGTTCCCTCACAAATCCAAGCTTTTTGACCAATTGGCTGATCAACTCTTTTCTCCCAGCGTCCCATAAAAGACCCTTCTGGGCAGCAAATGATGATTTGGCGGGTTGAAAATCCTGTTGCACAAGGGCTAATGTGGTCGAGATTGACATAGGTCTACCTTCGATGGTGTCGACAGGGTAAACTGCGGACGATACACTTTTGAGAAGATGCATTGCATGGAAAAAGTTCTTCAGGCCCATTTCAGAGTTAAACCATTTCTTGACGATTTGTTTGGCGTGCTCTGGATTGTTTTTCCTGACTTCCTCCAAGCTATTCCAACTGGATTGTGGTCATTGGCGTGATTGGAGGGGTTGGTATGGGCAGAGCTGTTGTTTCAACTCAAACTCCAAGTTGATTGCAATTGTTTGTCGCAGCAGGCTGTTGTGAGAGGCCTGCATCCATTTCTAGCTGGATTCCAATGATCTGTCTGAAGTTTTTGAGGCCTGCACGCAAGCCGTCCTGAGTTCGACCGCGTTTTTTTTTTTATTTGATTGATGTGTGACGGAATCATGGCATGGTCAGTGTGCCATGATTCCGTCACACATCGCTGACCGTTCCATGATTCTGTCCCACATCAATCAAATAAAAAAAAAATGTGGTCAAACTCAGGAGTCCGCTGTTGCTCAATGCGGTGCCTCAGAGTCAAATGTATGGAGGCCCTGAAGCGACATCCTGGACAAAATATCCGAAATTGTGGTGAGACCATGCCAAACAGGCCAATCCAAGTGCCAAAGTAGCCAACCCAAGCACCAAAGTAGCCAACCCAAGCACCAAAGTAGCCAGGGCAGCGCCAGATGGCCAGGCAAACTAGCCAAATAGCTCTGGTGCTACCCATTGGCAAAATAGACAAACAGAATGTAGATTTGACTCCAGCAAAACCAGGTATCAAGCTCCTGCCAGCTCGAGTGCAAGCTCTGGCTACCAGAAAGTCTTTGACTGTGAACTAAGGTTGGGCTCAAGAATCTTGCTTCCCATTAATTTTTGAACGATGAGATTGTCTTGGTCCAAGAGGAAGCTCTTGGACCAGTACTGTCTTTGTCCAAGAGGAAGCTCTTGGACCAGTACTGTCTTTGTCCAAGAGTAAGCTCTTGGACCAGTACTGTCTTTGTCCAAGAGGAAGCTCTTGGACCAGTACTGTCTTCATCGGTCCAAGAAGGAAATGAGGCAAGCAATGGTTCCAAAGAGTAGAGGAAGCAAGAACTTCTCCCCTCCTTGTTGGACTCTCTTCCCCTTGGACCGGTATTGTCTTCATCACTCCAAGGAGCATATGCTTCCTACCCTTGGACCAATGAAGAGTCTATCAGCCCAAGGGGAAGAAAGATTTTCCCTCTCCTTGGACCAATGAAAACAGTATCAGTCCAAAGGAGGAGATGATGCAAGAATGATTCGATTTATCTATGTATCCATGGACAGAAGAATACAGTCCTGGTCCAAAATAGGAGAGGATTCTTTATATGTACCCTCCCTGGATGGACCGATGCAGTCCAAGGAGGAAAGGAAGCAATAATCTCTCACTTCATCCCTCCTGCTTGGAGTCTGACATTGTGGTTTGAATTTTCATAATTTTTTAGACTGAACCATTGTCTTACAAATGTAAATGGTGCGATAAACCTTATCGGAAAGGGGTAGGAACTCGTGCAAACCTCGTCAAACCTCGGGACGGTAACGCAAACCGAGAACCGTGCCCAGGACGAGCCAGGGCAATTGCGGCTGGGTGTAAGCTCCCAATGACTGCGAAGGAGAAAAAAGCACAGAAGAACGAGCCCGAGCAGGTCGCAATGCGGAAAATGGTGGACGGCAACAATTTCGACAACAACACCTTCAACCAGCTCCTCGTCCTCTGGATTATTCGACATTCGTTGCCGTGGCTTCGAATAGAGGATTTCATTTTAGGTATAGCATTCAGATATCTCCGACATGTCGCCAAGCCATACACCCGCGTCTGGGTGGCCACCGAGGCACATTGGCTGTACTGCCACTTGCAGAGTAAGGTGTTGGACACACTCCAGGTGAATTTATTTCGTCCTCTTGATCAAGCAAATAGTTGGCTGATTGCTCATCTTAGTCAAATACCTCAAAGCTCAGCCTGATCCATGATGTGTGGACGACCAAGGGGAATCGAAATGTGTTTCTAGGAATCACCGTGGCTTATATCGACGACAGTTGGACATTCAAGGTCTGTCATCTGTTGGTTAAGTATATTGCTTGGACACATAAGGGCAAATATCTGGCTATTCCATTGGCGAACATCCTCCTCAAATCCCTCTTGAACAATAAGATAAGTATTTCTGTTATTATGTATCAAACTTTGTATGACATAGCAGCTAGCTGATTAGCAATTATTTTGGTTGTTGTATTTACATCATAGCCCAAACTACTGACTCAGGTTCAAATAACCTCACAATGGCTGTCGAAGTCGACCGATTGCTCAAGAAGGACGCAAATCACAATCAGGCCATCTCAATCGCCAAGAATCATATCCGGTGCTTTTGTCACAAGCTCGCCCTCATCCTCAATGCCGGCCTCAAAGCAATCTCAGTACCCCGACGCGATCAAATACCCACTGGCCCCGTGTTGGGTTTTGTCCCCGGCCTGTGTGCCATATCCGAGGAATCATCTGACTCAGGCCAAGTGGACCCATTGGCCAACCCCTTTGATACCAATGGCTTTGTTGACGATTCAGACTCCAACTGCAGTGATGATGAAGGACCAGAACTGAGGGAGGCCAATGTTATTGAGAAAGTATTGAAGAAGGTTAGTTATGACCTTCTTTTTATTATTTTTTTCATCTCGAGAAGTTCACTCTGACAAAGATCTATCCTGTTAAAATAGGTTGATTATGTGATCCAACGAATCACTTCCTCATCAGCCAAGCGAGCCGAATTCAACACATGGGCCAAAAAACTCGACTACTCGGGCCCAACTCTGATCGCCGGTTACGGTATCCGCTGGAATATCAAGTTTGAGAGCCGTGAGCAAGGGTATATTGCAAGGAACATAATCAACAAACTGATCGAGAACGAGCGAGACCGACAAGAACATGAGGGAGGCAAGAACCACTTCAATGAATATGAAATCACACGAAGCGACTGGGACATTGTCAAGAAATTGAATGATATCATCAGTGTAAGTGTTTCCTTGTCATTTCCAAGATTACTTTCATTTAAGTATCTAATTACCTATGAAATCAATATTTTTCTATACATCATCAACAGGAATTCTATTACATCACTAAGAAGATGGAGGGCGACATCCCATCGGCCTCAATGGTCCTTGCAAAATACGGACTCCTGCGGCAATACCTCGAGGGCAAGCTCAGCACCATCACCGAGGATGAATTCAAGAACATGATCAACACCATGCTCAAAAAAATCGACACCTACGTCAATGAGGCTCTTGCATGCGATGCCATCCTTCTCGCCACAGCTCTCAACCCCAGCTACCGCCTCTCAATGATCCAGAAGTGGTACCCCTCAGCCTTCCCCCGCGCACAATCCCTTCTGGAAGACCAATTCCAACAATGCAAACAGGCCCTCAATGACCAGGCAGCAAGAGATGAAGACACCCCGCCACCCAAAAAGAACACAACCCTGCCCCCTGGTGGTGGACTCGAGGAAGATGTCGACTTCTTTTCGGATGCTGCGCCAGAGACCTATGACGAACTGGCAGCGTACCTTGGGGGTAAGTATCGGCTGCCCTCTTCACAGGCTGCTGATTGCTTAACTTGGTGGAAGGTGGGTTCAAACTTTTCATAATTCAGGTTCTGAGTTTGTCATAAGAATCTGATTATTACTTTTTTCAATGAAATACAGCAATATTCAACAGAATTTCCAGTGGTGGCACTACTGGCCCGAGACTTCCTGGCCACAAGTGCTACGTCTGCAAGTGTGGAGCGATGTTTTTCAGCCGCGGCGGACGTTTGCGGGCAAGATCGAGGCAACTTAGCTGCCAAAACAATCGAAAGATGTGTAAGTTCCCACCAATGGATCACTCAAGGGGTAAAGCCTGATGGCCCATTCCAGGAGGCCCAGGACATAATCTCTGCTACTCAGGCAGAATTGGAAGCAGCCAAGACAACAAAAAAACCTGTCGCTTCGACCTCCGGTGTCAAAGGTTAATTTCACTATATCCTTTTTTTTATTTTTTCACCTATATTCACAGCCTCTACTCTCTAGGCTCTACCAACCCCCACTCAGTCTCCCAAATTTCATTTCACTCCACTTGAAAAAAATCCCTTGAAGAAAAAAAGTTGTATATTTCTTTACATTAAGTATGAAAATTATAAATAGCGATGAAAAAAAAAATCTCAGGCTCTCCATTTTTAGCTTCAAAGATTTACATTCCTATTTTTATTTGGCCCTTAATAAAAACACGCGGTAAATCCGCGTTTACACGCGGTTTCTGCTGCGCGCAGCACACGCGCATTCCGCTTTTAAACCCGCTTTTTTAATTAATTTTTTACTGCTTATTTTTTGAGTTTTTTTGAATTTTTAAAATTTTTTCCTAGGTTTCAAAGCGCATAGAATTTAATGGTAAAAACCATTTTCAATAAAAATGAATTTTGATTATTAATTATTTTTTTTCACTCATTTCTCAATTAATTGTTTGCAAACATGTTTGTACCTTATTTTTTAGCCTTTTTTGAAATTTTAAAATTATTTCCTAGGTTTTAATGTGCGTAGAATTTAATGGTGCAATCCAATTTTTTTAAAACTCTACGGTTCATTTTTAATACTGAAATTAGCCCCATTTTTTGACTTAATTTTTTACAGCTTAATTTTCATTATTTTTTGATGTTTCAAATTTTCTTCCTACACTTTAAGACATTTAAAAAAATTATGGTAACAACCATTTTTCCCCAAATTGAAAACTATACCTTGAATGCTGCATTTGACACCGTTTTTTTAATTAATTCATCACTTTTTCACTTAATTGTTTGCATACATGTGTGTACCTTATTTTTTATGCTTTTTTGAAGTTTTAAAGTTGCTTCCTACATTTGAAAGTGTGTAGACTTTAATGGTAACATCCAATTTTCTTAAAACTCAACGGTTCATTCTGAATACTGTAATTAGTCATATTTTTCAATTGATTTTCAAGAGCTTAATTTTCATTATTTTTTGACATTTTAAATTTGTTTCCCACACTTTTAGACATGATTAAAATGATGGTAACTATCATTTTTCATAAAAACCAAAGAATGTTATTGAAAACTGCGTTGGACATGTTTTTTTTAATGTTTTGTTAATTGCTTGTTACCAGCTGGTTTTTAATCATTTTTTGAAATTTTAAATTCATTTCCTCCATTTAAAAATGTGTAAAATTGAATGGTGAAGTCCAATTTCCCTACAAATACAAGCTTCAATCTTAATACATGAGTGTACCCCGTTTCTTGCACAATTTGTAACATATACAAATTTTATTTGAATGGAAAATGGATACAGCCAACAATTTTGAAACCTTTAAAAGTGTAGGAAATGAGCTTGAAATCCCAAAAAATAAGGATAATTGAGCGTGTAAGAATTAATTCAGGAAACACATCAAAGGCATTATTCAAGATATAGTTTTCATTTTGATGAAAATTCATTGTTACCATAATCTTATACATGTCTGAAAGTGTAGTAAACAAATTTAAAATGTCAAAAAATAATGAAAATTAAGCTCTTAAAAATCAATTGAAAAATATGACTAATTACAGTATCCAGAATGAACCGTTGAGTTTTATGGGAATTGAATGTTACCATTAAATTCTACACACATTTAAATGTAGGAAACAACTTTAAAATTTCAAAAAAGCATAAAATATAAGGTAAAAAAAACTAACGCAAACAATTGAGTGAAAAAGTGAATAATTCAATTAAAAAACGGTGTCAAATGCAGTATTCAAGATGTATTTTTTGTTTTGGGGAAAAAATTTTGATACCATCATTTTATACATGTCTTAAAGTGTTGGAAATAAATTTAAAATGTCAAAAAATGATGAGAATTAAGCTGTAAAAAATTAAGTCAAAAAATGGGGCTAATTTCAGTATTAAAAATGAACCGTAGAGTTTTAAAAAAATTGGATTGCGCCATTAAATTCTATGCACATTAAAACCTAGTAAATAAATTTAAAATTTCAAAAAAACATAAAAAATAAGGTAAAAACATTAATGCAAACAATTAAGTGAAAAAATGAGTGAAAAAAAAAATAATAATCAAAATTCATTTTGATGAAATATGGTTTTTACCATTAAATTCTGCACACTTTAAAACCTAGGAGACAATTTTAAAATTTCGAAAAAACTCGAAAAATAAGCGGGAAAAAATTAATTGAAAAACCGCGTGTACATGCGGAATCCGCGTGTGCTGCGCGCAGCAGAAACCGCGTGTAAACGCAGATTTACCGCGTTTTTTTATTAACACCCTTTTATTTTCATAAAAGCTAAAAAAAAAAAATCATGTATATATATAAATGCCCAAATTTTTTTCTTTTAACCAAAAAAATGCCTTCTAAAATGATCCCACAGATACCAGATCGGTATTGGATCGGTATCGCGATGCGATACCGATCCCTAACCCTGCGATACTGCCTGCTGCGATCCGATACTCTGGGTATCGGATCGGGTGGGCGATCCAATACCCCTTTTTTTGATACCTGGTAACAAAAAATCGATCCGATCCGATAAATCGGCCGATACCGTATCGGATCGGATCTGTTACATCGTTGCTTGGACCGATCACAAGATGTGATTGATATCGGTCCAGAGAGATCCCCTGGGACCGATGAGATTCTTATCCTTCCAGGGAGATGTAGCACCCTCCCCTGGGATGTCATACTGTCTTCATTGTTTCATGATGGATAGAAATTGACTGTATGCTTTGTTCCAAGGGGAAGAAGAAGTCCTCTGCTTCATCTACCCCCTGCACTATTACTGTATCCATAGCTGGAGGAACTTGTTTCATATTTTGCTTACCAAGCCCTCAAGGAATCCACTTGAGCAGACTGTTCTGTCCCCTCTTTCCCCAGTCTCTAAAAAATTCAACAGCTCGATCACACAAATCATTCTTACTACTTTTTCTTATCTAATTAATATGTTGCAGGATTCCATAATCCGTAGAACTGGGGGTCAGTTTGGTGCCCAGGAGAATAAAAAGCCTACTTAAAATTACAAAGCTTCCAAATCATTACTTCCTAGCAATTTTCCAGTGGAGAGGGGTCAGTTTGGTGCCTCAATGCAGGATCCGGCCTGTGAAGAAGAAAAACACATCTCGGATGAAGAAAACAATAGTATGTCTGATGAAGAAACCGAAATCAATGAGAATGACCCCTATGTATTAGATCTCCCTCAAGATTCCTGTGCTACCCTGTCTGAAAGAGCTCAAAAAACCCTTAAACAGACCCTATTCCTCTCCAAGTCTTACTTCACATCGTCTAAACCATTTTTGTTGCGGATGAGCCAGAAAAAAAAACATCCCATTTTCCATTGAGTTACAAACTTTTGCCTCTTCCAAAACTGTCATTGTGACTGCTGGTGGATGTCCGAAGAAAGTGTTATTCTTGGTCCAATTCCACCCTGATGACTCATCCAATCCAACCTTCAACCACCTATCCGAATTGATTGAAGACCTCTACATCATGTCTAATCACCGGTCCAATCTCAAGAACAAGAACAAGATATCTGGTTGAATTTCGGGGAAAGGATTTCGAGGAGGTTATGAGAAAGGCAAGAGCGCAGGTAAGTCCCAGTTGTTGTTGAGTATGAAAATTCATGGTGTTGATTTTGCTTTTTGTTAGGTTCATATGCAGTTCGTAAAGACCTCAAACCCTCTCAGCTCAAATTAGAGACAAACCTGCAGAACAAGCTACCTAGACACAATCAATTCATTGCGGATCGGTTTTGCCATTTCTCAGAGGAAGCTGTTGCCAAGAACAAGCAGGCAATGAAGGAGTTTGGTATTCCAAGCTGGTCTGATGAAGCTTGGGAAAGCTAAGAAAATGATCCAACCCCTCTTTGTTCCAACGTGATAGTAACCTCAAGCGATTTTTCCAACAAGGACAAGAAAATTTTCACGTATGGCATCTTTAGCTACATCGATCGATCCACCGGAACTCCAATCCTACCACCCTCAAGCACGTGTGGTCATGGAATCAGATTCCCCGATTATGACTGTAACATAAACTTTGGCACGACCCCTGGTATTATCGAAGTCTTGTGGAAAAGTAACGATATTTGCCATCACACCATAGGCCCCCCTGAGGAGCTTAAATCAACTAAAAAATCCACCCACTTTGGTTGCTCATTTCAAATCAGTCATCATCTTGTAGCTAGGGCACTAAAACTCAAATGTCTACCGGAGGAGGAAAAGAAGAAGAGAACAATGACTCGAGAGGAGAGATCCAAAAAAAAGGTGTCTAAGAAAAAGAAATAGGATTCTAGGAAATGTTAGACTTTTTTTTGTTGAACTTCGTAATTAATATCTTTCTATAGTAACATTTTTGGTTTGTAAATTGTGTGAATCAAGACCTTTGGAAATAAGGATGAAGAAGCTCTTGAGATATGTCTACTTCCGAGGTACTAGCGCCTTGGTTTTCCAAGTTTGTTTCATTGACTGATGGGACCCATTCAATTTCCCTCAATTGTCCTAGGTTGAGTGCTTTGCAGGCTTGAGAGCAGACATGATCAGATAGAAAGTTCATCATGAAAGTCATGGGTTCAATGTGAGACCATTGCGCCCAATGTGTGCTGGATTGGAAGATATAACATAGTGTCAAGATATATCAAAACAAAATTGAACATCATTTCAGATGACTTACTCCCGGTTCAAGTCCACTATTTATTGGAAAGGCTTGTGCAATCTACCAAAAATATAAATAAATCTACAAGCCTCAATGATAAATAATAAATATGATATTTTTACTTACACGTAAGTTCTGTGCAAGATTTTTCAGATCGGATGCAGCCACAGAAGATGTTAAAACAGAGTTGGTGAATAACACCAAGAATTGATGAGCAGCAGCATAAGATCTTGCTTGGTATATCGGAAAGGGTAGGTGGCTCAGACTTGGATGTTGGCATTTAGTAGAGCATTTGACAATCATCGAGTGGATGTTTGGGGTGTCCAAAAGATCGGCTTTAACAACTCTTCCCTTTTCACTTTCAGAGATCACTTCTGTCTTGTGGATCTTATAATGTACTAGTCGACGGAACATGTCAATCCCATTTGGATCAAGCTCGAGTCGTATGCCTTCTGTCCAACCTAGTCCATTTTGATCGGTGAAAAGCGTTGACAGGTTGGTCGAACCAAAGTGATCCCAAGAAAAATTTGACATATCCATTATTGGATTTAACACCCCTATTTGATCATCAAAAAGATTCTAAATAAGTATTTTTTTGGAAGTGACTGCTCAGAATATTGAACTCACATGGTGGGCACCTTTGGACCACCAGATTTGGAAGCATTTGGATTTGAGACTGATCCAAAAGGGAGGAGAGAGATGAAAAGAATGCTGGAGTAGTTTGACCGCTATAAATACCAGACTGGTCAATCCCTAAACTACTAGCATTATCCAACACCTGGTTATTATTTCCTTCCAGATTTGATTCTATAGTGTAGCTAGTTGGAGTATTAAGAGGAAGTCTAGGATTCTTTTTGGGATTAATAATACGTATGGAGTCAAGAGTCTCTAATTCCAAATCCGATTGACTATATTCTTCTTCTTCTTTCAAGCACTTCTTATCGTAAGCATCATAGTTAAAGATGAGATCAATAAATTTGTTCTGCTCAAGATCAAATATAAATGATGCCTGGTCATCTACTCCAGAAACTTTTGATCCGAGTTTAGAAAAGGGAAAGTGATTTTTAGAAAAAGAACCGTATCCCCCAAGGTTGTGACCAACATATTTCTGGCAAAGTTTGCTGAGTAAAATGTTGTGCGAGTTGATGTTTCCTGTTTCAATCCAGTGAGGGGTTCAAGGTTTGGAAAGCTTAGGCTGGAATTTACCGCCAACTCTTATCTCAAAGCCACACTGAACCATTACCTTCTGTGGTGGATTGGATGAAGGAATTGCACCTTTGTTGGGGGCGGCAGGTTTGGGTTTTGACAGTCGTGCGTTTCTCAAAGTTCTGGTAGGATAAGGCGAAGGTTTAACCCTTCTGGCCCTAGCAAAACTGTAAGCATTGACAGGAGGTGAGGAATCGACTTCCACTCCAGTGTTTTTTGAAGGTACTGGATGGCTGGAATGATGGGTAGTCAAAGACGGTTGATCCTCTGGTATAGATTTGAGAAGCCGCTCTTTGGCACGTATCAAAGCATCCTTTTTCTTGGTTTTCATCAAAACATTTTTGGCTAAGGGAACTGCCGAGGTATCAGTATGACTATGATCAAAAGCATCATTGATGCAACTTTGACATAAATGACCGCGGACACTTGGTCTGATACAACAACTGATGCACTGCATTCTAGAACTTAAAAATTCAAAATCAACAACCAAAATTTTGAATAATATTGAAGAATTTGTTGGAATTGGGTGTGCACAGTGGGTGCAGGTGTTGGTATTAGGTGTGCACAGTGGGTGCAGGTGCTGTCAATACTCCAGATCGGGAGTGTTGTGATCATGAGATCATGATCAATCTGGCACGGTCAACAGGCTCTTTCCTCATCCCATCTTCTTTATCACAACTCGACATCGCTCAACTATTCTTCATCAATCATCAAGTTCAGCATCGATCGAGTGTGAGGGATCATCTGCTAGCAACGGTGCCACAGATACGAGACATGTATTTGTATCGGATTGTATCGTATTTATTTTGAGCCTGATACCGGTATCAGTATTTCCTTGGTTGGTGAAAAAATACATTGTATCAGATTTGGATTTAAAAATGAAAAAAAAAATCGTCTTTGTTTTTTTTCGTTTTTTCTTCAATACAGCCAAATATCTTATGTATCAAATACAGTTTTGGTGGGATCAGTCATCTGAGACGATACAGAATACATTTCTCACTTTTCAAATACGATACATGTATATGTCTCAGGAAAGTGAGACAACACAAATCCGGTATTTTTGGGTATTCCAATTCTGAGACGATACAGATAAACGCCTGATACCGTATCGTATCGTCTCTGTGGCACCGTTGCTGCTAGGGATTTATAGCCTTGAGGTATTTTTTATTATCATTTCTTATTGTTATCATTCATTAAGTTGTTGACCGCTCTAACTTTATGTTCTTAGCTTTTTTATCCTGAATTAATTGATAAGATACTCTTTAAGAGTCAATCGTGTACTTACTGTGTCGGTAGTTCATCTAACTTCCTGTTCTTTTAAGGTACTACTCTTTTCTTTTTCTCTTATCTCATTTTTATTCTTTTTCATTTTCATTTTAATGAAATTTATATTCTTTTAAGCCTATAAATTTCTCACATTATCAGTACGGCAGCTCAATAACAAAAGAACAGAAGACCGACTACAGGATGTCCGATACCAAAGAGAACAAGCCCAAGTTGGTTGCGACTAATATTCCTAAGTTGGACGATGACAACTACGAGTCTTGGTCAGGACGGATGGAAGTCTATCTCAAGGCCAAGAAGTTATGGCCGTTCGTTGGAGGATCCGAGATTCCCTCTGAGTCTAAGAGGCACGAGGCCGCTCATCTTTTGATCAGCCATCTCGGAGACGGCACTTACGATGCTTGTGTCACAAGAGATAATCGAGACAAACCTAGTGCACTTTGGACTGCGATCACCAAGCAGTATGCGTCGGAGTCGGCGAATAACAAAGGCCGAGTTTGGTTGAAATTCATGTGATCGACTTACAATGGCGATCTCAAGGAATATATAACGAGTTGTTGAAAATTTATCCAGCAATTCTCGACTCTTCAACCCGGAGTTCCAGATGATCTCATCTCCATTTCGATTCTTTCTAAGTTATCTAAGGATATGTATAATGTCGTTGACAACATCCTTATGAATGAGTCAATCATTCATTTTCCGAATCGTACTTTAAAAAAGCTTTGAGAATTTGCGTACGTTACTGAAACTCGTATCAATTCCTCGTCTAAGACCGCTTCGAAATCAATTGTTAAAGAAGAAGCTTCGGCATTCAAAACCAAGTCCAAGAAGTATGTCAACCCGAATCCGTGCTCTAAAGGTGTACATAACCCGAAAGCCGTTCATTGAGGTACGTGTACCTCGTCCAGCGGAAGGGTTTCCTTCCGCTGGACTGTAGACCGGCGAGCCGGGAGGGGTTCCTCCCGGCTGTGTGACCTTGGCCTCTCTAGGCCGAGGGGAAAAAAAAAGAAAAAGAAAAAAAGAAAAAAAGAGTCCCATAGGACCCATGCCTGGGTCCTATGGGACAGCCCAGGTCCTAAACGCATATAAATATGCATTTAGGACCTAAAGTTGGGCGTGCAGAAAGGCACGCCAACCTGCAGGGTATACCCCTGCAGGCAAATGGCTTGCCTGCCTGCACGCCATTCTGCAATGGCGTGCAGGCGCGCACACCAATCTGCAGTTGGCGTGCGCGTGGGGGGTTGGCTTGCACTTATCAACCCCCCTATAAATTTCTCAGAATTTGATTTTGCTTACTCTCAGAGCTTAACGTGGTATACTATTATGTTTTGATGGGTGATTTATGCCGGTTGCTGAGCAATACAATATCAAGTTAGATGTTTTGTAGGGTTCTGGGAAGGTCAGTGGAGTTGTTTGCTTACCGGGTGTGGATCAATGGAGAGTATTTAATCAGATCAAGCTTGCGAGTCGATTGAAGTTGGAGACCTTCCTTTAGCCTATACGGAGAGCAACTTTCTATACGGTCTTATGATGAGCTGTATTGCACCTGTATAGAGACTTCAATACGTGGAGCATGGAGGCCTTGGTCAAAGACAAATCACATGCTGATAATTTCAATTGAAATTTGTAATTTTTACATACATGTAAAATTGTGATTCACTCTTACTGGCTTGAATTCTACAATTCCACATGTTTTCCAAACCATCACATGCTTTCCCTGGTTGTATAAGAAGTCTAGAATGTTTAGGGGTGTAGAATGAGTATTTGGCACGGGTGGTGTGTCCCAGGAAAGACAGATTCAGTTTCCTGTGGCTGGCTGGGATGCATCTGAGTAATAAAGAGTGTAGACACTATCTCAATGTTAGTGAATTATACCGGTTAAGGGTTGTGTATTCTTTTTATGGTTTACTCACACCGTACAAGGGTTTCCCCTTCTGAAAGTTTTTATGGTTTAACATAAAGCATTTGGATTATGTACTACTATTTTAGTATGGCAAGAACTTCAGCCATAACCAGGAATATCCTTGAAGTACATATTGTGTCTTCCTAAGCTCAGAATGCCAGTGCAAAATTGGTAGGAGGCCAGGTCTGTTTACATTTGTCTAGAGGAGGAAGGGAAGATATAGATAGAAAAACACAAGGCCTTGGTTTCTAAACATTGTGAGCTGATGTGTGGGATTGGGGAGCATTCTGCTTGGACCAATGCTTGCTTTTATTCTACTTGGGATGATGAAGACAGCATTGACCTCAGGGGAAAACCCTTCCTCTTCCTCTTGGACTGAGGCTTCTTTTATCAAAACAACAATGAGCTTGGCAAAAAGGATGATGCTATTAGTCCAAGGGGGAGAATAATTTTTTTGACTTATCTTACCCTTGGACAAATGTACTATTGAATCAGTTAATTAGTAATTGTTTTTTTTCTTGAGGTGAAATACAAGAGTAATAGCTCAAGAGAGAAGCCAAATCACTGAAAGAAAGTGTTTTTTCTTAAAAGGAAAATATAGTATCATTTTCCAAATTTAAGTAGTAGAATCTGTATCATATAACAAGTATGCACGGGCAGCAATTGTTTCTTCAGGATCATTCGTGATATCATCCAACCAGGCAGAGTCGTAAAGTTGGATGGCAGATCTTAGCCAAGAAAGTACACTCCAAACATTCTGAGTGTCAGTTTCAGGACAGTTGAGCTCCATTTCCAGTTTTAGAAGGTCAACTATTTTGCTGAACCATTCAGGGCAAGTAGAAGTTAGATCTTTGGCATCAGGGTAATGCTTGTTCTCTAGCTCCAGAGCCACAGATATGGTGATGGGTATCAGTCCTTGTTTAGAATCGTGGTCTTCGGGGTTTTCGTAACACATGTTTGCCCTGCATCCACTAGGAAGCATGCTCTTCCTGTCACGACGCCTCTTGTATGAGTTGTAGTTATTGATCCATTCGTTCAGACTATCCTGCAAAAGAGGTACCCATAGATATATAAAAAGGAGACTTACACCGATACCAAAATGTATCAAAAATTCAGTGTTACAATAAAAAAAAAAGGAAGCAAAGATACTGACTGATCTACAGGGTCTTCAGGATCATAGTAACCTTTTTCATCAGCTTCATATAATTGACTTATAAGTTCGCCATTGTATTGTTTCATCAACTGAGACCAGAGGCATTCTATTTTTTGATTATGTGTGCTTTTGGTGAATTGATGTGATTGATCTGGGTCTAAGTCGTAATCAATTCCAAATTGACGCATAAGATTTATTTGGTGTCCGGCCATCTTGATTGTCTCAGTGCCTCGATTGGTGGTTGTTAGACGTGGGATGCCACCCTCCCGTTTGACTAATTGAAGATAGTAATATCCAATATGTCGAGGATTGTTGTTGGTAGTGTGAACAAAGATTGCCAAGACCTTACAACTCCAAGCATCAATGAAGCCGTACAAAGTGATTCCAAACTTCTTCAATTTATCATGGCCATTGGCTGACCAGATAAAATTTGGGCCAGCAACATTGAAAACACAACGCTTGAGAACCCTCTTTGACCTTCTGTTGACACCCTCTGGGTCCAAGGCACAGTTGATTGCAGCAGCCGTTGATCTAAATAAAGGAGTGCAAAGATATATGGTAATTAGTTTGGGGCCCATGCATAAGGAAACCATATGGAAATGGTATTAATGAAGACGTACAGATGGATATTGATTCCATACCTAGTCTGAAGCAATTGCTTCAGCCTACAATAACCAACGATATGGCCTTCAGGTGTTTCGTGAATTTTCTTGAAACATTCTATTACAACTTCCATTCCTTCATCATCGTCAATCTCTAGATCCTCCTTTCAACGTTGGAGCTCCATGTGTTGAATCTTTCTCTCTAGTTTTCGTTGGGAATGGACATATCCATGCTTTGAGGAGAGCGTATGATGTATTTGAGCATTTGTAAGCCCTTGATGGAAGTATCGTCGAATGTCTTCTTCAAGCTGGGATGTCTGTTGTATCGCATGGTGGCTTAGACCCCATTCTGCCTTCCGACAACTCAAGGTTCGTTCAGATATGAAGATGGAGTAAGATTCTTTCAAATGGTTAAGTATTTGATGATTACTGTTTCCCAATTCAATCAATTCTTCAATAATGGGCTGGAACTCGTCCCCAAAGGTAGACATGCTATAATAATAATGTAGGAAGTTAATGACAGATAGCTTAATGTAGGAAGGAAGGTAACGAATAGCTTAGTCAAATAGTTAGTTGTCAAAATTATGAGGGTAGCAAGGTATACAGGTTAGTTGTATAAAGAAGTGTTAGAGTTATGTTTCATTGCATAGTGACCAATTCATCTCCTGCAGGGCTAAAAGGATGCCTCTATTACAGGCATGTATGTATGAGCCACATGATCAACTTGGAAGGAATCGGTAATATTTCATAACCTCGCATCTGGAAAACGGATTCAATATTCAACATGCAGAATTTTTATTTTCAAAATGAAAAACAAATCCATCTGCTGACTGGATTTCAATGCTCGATGTCCAGATTTACAGGCAGGCATTTCTCTTCAACACGAAAAAGAAATTCATCTGTTGACTGGATTCAATGCTAAATGTCCAGATTTTTCTTTTCAAAATCAAAATGAAAAGCTCAGAAATTGGAAAAAAGGTTGGCCAACAAGTCGGTTCAGTGCCAAATCAGATGATATTATGGAGGTACTGAGCAGCCATTTTGGCCAAAAAAAAATGAAAACATGGGGATGAACCGCCAAATTGGCCAAACAACCGCCAAATGACGCCCCTGAACCGCCAGAATGGCCAAATTGAAAAATGAATCCAACCGCCAAATTGGCCACCCATGCTCCTGAGCCGCCAAAATTTCCCCTGAGCCGCCATGCATGGCACTGAACCGCCAAATTAGCCATCAATTTTGAAAAAGGTCAAATACAGCCTGAAAATCATACAGGGCATGGCGCACTACAGAAGCCACATTCCCCACCCGTATCAGAAATGTAAACACATAGATTCTGTTCGTTCCATAGTGTTACCCGTTACTCGTTACACATAAGGACAAAACAAGCCTTGCATAAGTCACATCCAGCAACGGTGGGCCAGTTACGCTAACCGTAGTGTTAGTGTAGCGTAGTGTTAGCTTTTTAAGCTACGCTACAAAAAAGTTACTGTTAGCGAAAATTTTGGGCCACTAACACTACAGGATTTCTAAAAAAATCAAAAAAAACTTTAGCGTAGCGTTAGCTGACTGAAAAAAAACCAAACTAACACTAACCGAATCCCTTGTTAGTGGAATTGTAGCGTGGTTAGTGGGCTAAAAAGTTACACTAACTGTTAGTGTAACTTTTTGATAAGTTACACTAACTGTTAGCGTAGTGATCCCCTCAGTTACACTAACTGTTAGCGTAGTGATCCCCTCAGTTACACTAACTGTTAGCGTAACTGATCAAAAAGTTACACTAACTGTTAGCGTAACTGAAAACTGAGTCATAATAATGTGTAGGGGGCTCAGATGTGATGGGAAATGGTCATCAAAAAATGATTTTCAGGTAATTACTTGGGAAAAAAGCAAGAAAAAAACCAAGCATTTATCCTGGAGCAGGACAAATCATCAACTAAAAATCAAGATTTTTTTTTTGGTTTTTTTTTGGTTAGGTATGTTTAAGAATAAATAATAAAAAGAAAAACTAACTGGAAGATTTTTTTTTCTGGCTAAGCATGATCAAGCATTAGTGATAAAAAGAGATAGTAAAAGGCGTAAAAAAACACAGATGGAAAATATTCTACTGTTTCTTTTCGGAAAAATCCATGTAAGATCTAACAACTGTTTGTGCTTTTGCATAATCACCAGAAACTTGAATACCTTCTTTCAACCACATATGACTACTAACACACCTTTCAATTGTTCGTGGTTTTAATGATCCACGTCCAGTTGAACAAACATCAGCAGCTGAGGAAAAAGTACGCTCAACTGCACATGAGGATGCAGAAGATGCCAAGTAGTCCTTGGCTAACGATGCAAGAACCGGATAGGTGGATGCATGATCCTGAAAAATACAAATAAAAAAGAAAATCATAATGAGATTAATAACTTATTGCAGGTGAAAAACAAAGAGAAATTCATACCTTCCACCATAACAAAAGCGCTTTGGGACACTTCGGAGAGATGGCTGGGAGGCGATCCATGTTGTTGATATATACCTCGAGCTCTTTGTTTTCTTCTGTTGATTTTGCAGGCTTGCTGAACATTTCAAAAATGTCATCTTCTTCAACCGGAGGAGTTTTCTTTTCGACTATTTGAATATCGTCTTCCTTCTTCTTCTTCAGAACCTCCACACGCTTCACAAATTCTTTCTCCAGAAGTTTCTTGGCCACGTCCACTTTTTCAGGCCAGCAATGGGTGAATAGCCCTAATCGGAATGACGGGTGGAGCAAGGTAGCCATAATGAGAGTTTCACACTACG